CAACTATTGTACAAAAAGTACAAAAAATTAGTTGTGGAAAAATAATTAAATTTAGAAAATAATTTGAAGTTAAAATTTGAAAAGTGTCTTTTGAAACCGCTTGGTAGAAATAGTATTAAATCAACGATAATATTAGTGATTGAATGGTAATTGACGTAATTCTCGATTCTACAATCTGCTTACAGAACGTTCAGTCATTATACTGTTCTGATTAATTCCATGGTCCTTTCATTCCATATTCTACAGATTCGAAAGGACGATTCTATTCTTAGGAAAATCATTATATCAAAGAATCTGATTAGGCAAAAATATTCGAATTTGTCCAAAATACGTACAATAATGAAAAAAATAACAAACGAAATCTTTACGATCATATGTAGTATAACATAGATAAAAGAGCAATGAAGTGTCAATTACAAAGGAGCAATCATGTCGTCGGCACCTGATTCATAGGCCGAAGGGAGGTGACTTTACGCTCGGAATATCAATCGATGTCGCTTAAAGTGTGCGCGCTTGTAAATTAATTGGCCACCTGTGGATGTGGGTGTTACGCCGTACCGTTTTCGTTGTCCGTCGCATAGATCGGATTCTAATCAGATTAGTTAGCACCCTACAAACTGTGGCCGTCGGATAACACACGCGTACGGCCACTTTAGTCGACGTTGTACGAGGTATCCTCAGAGTAACGTTAACATTATCTTTCCCCGATGCCAAGATACTAAAATAAGTCTCCATTTATGCTTTAATATCGAACTGGTTTAGCAGACATTCTTATTCTATATCGACGTAGTAACTTTGATTAATTATTAAATTCAATACTTGATGATATTGGTATTCATCTGAATTATATTCGAAATTCCAACTTTTGCGATAGGAATATCTTCTTAAAACTTCATATGTTAAGATATTATAAAGCATCCATTGTCTTTCTCTCTCCCCCTTTCACTTTTTTCTCTTTTCTTTTTTTCTCGCAAAAGACACTTGTTTTTTTTGCTTTCTACTTTAGGACATTAGGCAGACAAACGGAACACCGTTGAATGTACCTTTGACGTTTCATGTTTTTTTAGCGAGTATAGGATGATTTCTTGCAAAACAAACAACCCTAGACCGACCGCACTAGGGATTCACCAAAAAAAGAACTATTGGATACGACGTTACATACAACTCTGTACTTTTTATTTTCCAACTGTGGAATTTGACTTGACTCATTCGCTTGGGAATGAAACTAACATCAGAAGAGAAATAAGAAGACCGCGTTCTTATTCTACTATGAGCGAGCACCGACATAAGACGATCTTCTAACGGCGACAACGACAATGACAACATTGCGTATAGCATGTTATACGAACCATGACGAACAACGAAAGTTGGTATTCTTCTCTACAGATTTTCTTTCTAAAATTGCGTATCATCGTAGCGTTGTTCTTTCCCAGGAATACCTTTTCAAGGAACATTATCGTGGTAAAAAATAAGAGATAAATTAATTAAGAATATAAGAATTAATATTTTAATTAATATAATATTGTTGAATACACAATATAAAACATGTACAACAACTTGATTTTTCATTCGTAAAAATAATAAAAATTTCAACAACAATAAATGATACATCAACAGATTAATTAACTTTCGTGATATACGATTGGCAACATTTGTTTGAAACAGTAGATACATATCGTAAACTCAATTCTAATTCATCATTTATATTCCTTCTATCTTCGGCGAGCTAGAATTATTATCTCTTAGATGAGAAGGAGAAAGTCGTTGTTTTGACAGCAACGTGAAACATGCACGTAAAACTTAGAGAAATACGAATGAAGATTTCAGTCGTTCTATATAGAAGAAATGTGGAGTCACCAATGCATCAGGATTGTCTCTTAAATCGAGCCATCCTGATTTCTCGAAAGTGGATGCCAGCTAAATTGCAGCACCAGTTAATTTCGGGGCGCTTCGTATGCTAGGCAAGTGCGTACCACGCCAATTCCATTCTCACAAATTCTCTATCTCTCTCTATCTCTGCCTCTGTCTTTCTCTCTCTTTCTCTCTCTCTCTCCCCCCCTTTTTGTCTCGATAATTTCGCTTTAAGTATTATACATATAATAACAACGTCTATATCTAAAAAAAATATTCCACGTAGTTCGAATATTTGTAGAAAATTCCATATGGTCTATACGTAAAAGAAAAGATTGAAATTTCCAAGAAATCTACAGTTAGCTAAGATCACGTATTTGAAGATACGTACGTGCCAATTTTAAAACAGTAAGTTCTCTGAAAACATCGTTGTCATGCAATGCACATAAGTATGATATTTGCACATCCTGAGAAGGACGATTATTGTTCGAGGTAGTGCATCGTTGAGGAACCACAAGGCATGTTCAACGGCTAGAGATACACACAGAAAGAGGCAGAGAGAGATGAGAGTTAAATAGATGAAGAGAGAGAGAGAGAGAGAGAGAAGTAGTAACATGCCTACATAGCAAGGCATTCGGTGACCGCATATACTCCGAAAACTGGAAAGCTCTCTGGTCGGCTTACCGGCAAGACAGTACATTTAAGCTAGAGACGTTGTCTTGAACTGACCTCCGGGCGAAACGTTTCCAAGAACGGTCACAAGACCAGCGACCTTTAGTGTAACGTGACCCCAGAGAGAAAGAAAAAGAATAAAAGAGAAAAGGAAACAGAAAAAAAGAAAGAAAGGAAAGGAAAAGAAAAACGACCAAATAGGAAAACGAAAGAGAAGATAGTGTGCTTCCTAGTTATATATATATATATATATGGATGTATGTATGCATGACTTTATTCGTCCCGAATACGTAAATTCGTCTCCACTTTTACCAACAGCATCAGTATATATAATACTAGCGGTTATAGCAAGTAGCTCTTCTCGTCAGCAGAGATTTATAGAAAAGGCAATAAATACGTTCTCAATGATCGCAAGGAAGAGAAAATTTGACGGTCAATCAGAAAAAAGGTACGTTTTGTAATTAGCCACGAGTACCGCTGCTCATTGATTTGACGAAATCGTCCCTTCACTGCATCCAAACGGAATCAACCAACCTATCAGATGAACGTTGATTGGATAGCTATGTACGCTGTACAAATTGGTTAACGAAATTTAGCTCGTCTTCGCAAAACCTTTGTCTGTACGATAATCAAACGAATTGCGAGACTATCCATCGACATAAAAACTATTCAACGCTCAAATGTATTTTGTAAGAATAAAGAAAAAATGAAATAAATAGTCCTCGGAATTCTTACTACTTCCCTTGAATTTCGATGAAAATAAACTAAAAGAAAAAAGAAGCAACTTTTACAAAACATTTATACTATATGTCGGATGTATTCCAATAAGTGTTACAGTCGTAAAAACAATTATTTGAAACGGGATATCATGTGTACAGATCACACATGTTAGAAGTGAAACCAAGCTTTAAGAGAATGAGACGAATGCACAGTATCAAAAGTAAGCTAATTATAAGGTTTATTTATTATAATATTTAACAATATATAATTGTTACCATATATACCAAAGGGCACCGGCATGATTTTTGGGTGGGGGTAGCTAGAATTTGAGATGTTGTAGTTTTTGTTCGACTCAAGTGCTAACTCGTAATAGTAATGCTAAAATCTAATATAATCAGATTTTTTTTCTGTTTTTTTAACATTTTATTCGAAACACAAAATCACAAAAAATTCTATTATAATACACGAACATTATAGGAACAGTGTGCTTCTTACGGTAACATTCTCACAGTTACATTTCAACGTATTGCCGTGTTATCCATTAGATATATGTCGTACCTCTATTCACCCTCATGCCACCGTTAATAACAGGCAATTCCGTGTTCCCTCGGCTAACCCATGTAATTGAGGCAATGTGTGTTAATCAGAGGGTGCCTCATTTGCCACAGGGTATAGTCCAAATTACTTTTGTTACCTGGAACATCTTGTCCCGGTCTATATATCTACTATTTGATTTTCAAACCTATTATTTTATTAAAGATAATACTAATAGATTCAACGTGTAATGCTTACGTATTTATATACGTATTTATTATTAAAAATTTTATTGAAAAATGCCAGAAACAAATTCTCATCAAATTTATTTAGTTTTTATTCGGTCTAAATATTTAGAATTACAAATGTTTATATTATTATTTTACTCAGAGTATATATATATATATATAAAGGTAAAGGAGAAGATCGTTCGGAACAGACCTTTTTGGATGCAGTTGACGTGTAAAAGTATAGAAGTACCTTAAATAAGATGAAAGTGTCATAATTTTGTCGTTGTTACGTGAAAAAAGCAATTGAGATGACATATGTTATTCTCACGTGAAGATAAATGTATATTGTTACGAGCAAGCCCAAAGACGTTTTAGAAAATATGTAGAACGAGTAGGCCGCATAGGACTTGTTGAAAAATAATGACAAGCATCTAGCTTAAACGGGAGATCGAGTAGAGAATATACGTCGCACAATCGTTCTCAAAAGGAACGAATTATTCTGAAACCGAATTTTATACATTTATTAATAGTTTTTCTTAGTTTCAACCTTTTGCGGAGGGAACGATTCGAAGTCTTTTGAAATTGCTAGCTCACATTTCTACCTACACGTTAATATCGACGTGCTTACATGGAACACATATATGAGCCTTTCGACCCTATCAATTGTTTTCGCCAAATGCACATATGAATTCCTCGGCCAAATTGATGGTTTACGCAGAACGCATATATGAGGCGGTAGTCCGCAAAGGGTTAATAAAGTTTTGTTATCATTTCCTAGGCGTTAGTATAATGATAAATAACTTTGCATGCATATATATATATACATTATACAATAAACTGAAAAATTTAAGAATATACCCAAATATCCTTTCATCTTTTTTGAACCTTTGATCAGTGTCAAAAAGTTTGGAAGTATTAAACTTAATTATAATAAAGTGTGAAATTCTTTTATTATTTTTATATAAGATATAATTAAACACATATTAAGCGGATTCATACAAACATTTTTGTAACTTCTTACTTTATTGCAAATTTATTAATACCATTAATTATTATATAATTCATTACTTATTATCACAAAGTAACGCTACTCCACGTAAAATCCAATGATCCGGTGATTTGTTGGATTGCAACCAAAGTGGTGTAACCAAGAGATTATAGGTCCTTTGTGGTTTTTTATACACAGGGCACTGTTAAATATTATTTTAAAATGTATGAATAACTGTATTAGCATATTTAGACGTTTATATTTTTTGTAGTATTGTATTATTAATATTATAAATATTATTTTCATCATTATATTTATAAAGAGTTTCTGAAATATATATTTACTTGATATAATTTAGGATCTTTATCTGGTTTATTATAAAGTGCATAAATATGAATGACTGGCATGTTCACATAGAGAACTTTATTTGTTGATTCACAAAGCATATTATTTCTTCTATCCCACCCAGCACCTTCTAAAATTAATCCAATCACATACACACCTTCCTAGAAAAGAAATAAGAAAAGAAATATATATTCTTACAAATATTTATATAAAATGTGAAACTTACATCTGGTGCAGCTTTAATCTCATCGGTATAATAACGCAGAACAGAATTATGCAGAGTTACGTTATCTAATGCCCAACCCTCGTGAGCACGTGTTACTTCTTGTCTCATAGCCGTTAAAAATCCTATAAAATTTTATAGAAAATATATTATTATATCATTCAAAATTACCATTAGATATTTAATCTGCAGAAAACACTTTGCCTTGAGGATTAAAAAATCCGGTCATCCAAAATTTCATAGGTCTACCAATAAATAACCAAGTAGAAAGTTGTTGATTTCGTTCCAATAATTCTGTGAACCAAAAACCAAGCGTCGAAGACTCCCACGATCGAACTTTCCAAATTTGAGGTATTCTTGCATCGTATACATTATCGAGAATATCTCTTAATTGCTGTATGGATTTATACATTTAAATATATGAAGTTTTCTTTTCATTATTTTATATAAAAACAAATAATAATATTTCTAAAAATTTACCTCATTCATAATTATTACACCTTCTATAGCTAACAATAGATCATTTAACATTGTGTTTAACAATAAAATAACAACATTTATTCTATCTATCTCTTGTTTCAAAAAAATATTCATAGATTGAGTTACACCCATGATATTCATTCTATAAAAATTATAAAACAATTTAATATGCATGGAGAAGATATGAATTCACAAAACTATTACAAAAATATGACTTTTCAAACCTTTCTTTAACTACGAATGAATCATATGATGATGGTAATTTGTCTAACATATCTTTTGCTAGTCTAGTTACAACCGTTTCTCGCGATTCTCCACCACCCACCCCTGCTTCCTTTGGTTGAATAGATATTATAATATCTAACACAGATTGTGTTGTATTACTTTGATATCTATTTTAATAAAAATGTATTTATTAAAAAGTAGCCTTTTCACCACTCCGTGCGGAAAGTGTCAACTTTCCGCCTACGTCGAGCAGAAAAAAAAGTATACACACCATGGGCAATAAATAAGAAAGCCTCAGAGCACATGTTTATTGACCTCAGCTTCGCCTCGGACAACAATTACATGTGCTCTGAGACATTTCTTACTTTACCGCCCTAGGTATGTAATATACTATTTTATTACTCATGCGGGGAAAGTACTATCTTTTTGGTTGCTATTGGGGTCGGAAAGACGCTGCCCCCCCCACCCTCCGGCCCTGGACCCCAATTATGTACCAAATAAGTCCCCGCATTCGTAATAAAAAATAGTATATGCAACTAGTGCGCAGTTGTCGATTGCCCACTCGATAATACCATAATATACTATTACATATACTTATTTTTAAACAATAATAAATTACTAACGTAATATCTGCATTTGAATGAAGTCCATAAACTTGTGGAGGATCTATTGAAGCCATAGAGTCTATTACCTTTAAGTAATCAGTAACATTACTGTAGTTTAATACTGGATAACCTTTATAAAATTCAAAATCTTCAGTAAAAAGTGCATCTGAAAACCACACTTTTGAAAATGTGTTCAATAATCTTTTATCATAATCATCTGTAACTCGACCTCCGTATTGTACTTCACCTATCATATACCTGCCAAAAATTAAATATTATTAATAGACATTATTTAACAGACTTAATTTAATTTGTTAAGATTTTTTAATGATACCTAACAGTCTGCCAGCTTATACCACGTTTAGGATCAAAATCACTCAAGTGATTGTTCATAAACATACAAGATGCCAACCAATCAGCAGAATTGAATTCATAAGGTATATTCCAACCAAGTGGACCAAACTTACGTCTTTCCTGTACTACACTATGTAAAAATGACACTACATATATTAATGGAATGTATTGAGCAGCATCACATTGATCTAACATTATTTGATTCATTCCACTGTATGTAGCTGTTAAGCCAGCTTTTATTCCTATAATAAAAATCTAATTAAACAATTATAATAAAATATTGTTAATTAGATAAAAAAGATAAAAAAATAACCTTGTGGTGGCTCATATGTAAACTTAATAGACATTTGTAAAAGAGAAATAGGGAAATCTTTATGTGGTTCTGTTGTAATCCATATACGAAAATCGGGGTGAGGAGATTGCATTTCCAAAAGAAAAGTAACCATCTCATTCATATAATCTAAACCTAAATGACAATTTTGACAGAGTACCCAAAAACCCTGAAAAGTTAAATTGTAAATAGATTCATATTTCACGAAATAATTATGTCATAGTATATTTATAAAACATTTAACGAACATCAGTCATAGCGCTATTAAGCAATTTTCGAGCATGCACTTCTTGACCTTGTCCCATCGATATACTTTGGCATAAAATTTCCATATTTTTTGCTAATTGTTCAATGCTTGGACTAGGATCTGTTCCCATACTTAGAAAACAGATCATAGGTGTATCAGGTCTTGATTCACTATGCATCACATCCAAAAGTGTAATAACTGCTTCTGCATACCGTGGACCTAAAGAGCTTGCTATATATTTACGAGATTGTGAAAGAGTTCGGTCCATACACCATGCTCTACAAAAAATTTTATTATGAAAAGATTAAATAGATTACATGTTTTTTTAATATTATTAAATTTATATATATATATATATATAGTTATAAAAGTTCATAAATATAAAAACCTTATAATAAGTAAGCGACGAAAAGTATCTAAACTATGATAACCATCTGGTATAAGTTCTTCTTCTGGAGCATCTTTATCAAACCAAAGCTTCCAAAGTTTTTCAGAAGCAGGGATTTGTATTAATATATACTGGAACTGTTTCAAAGCTGATAGAGCAACTAAATGTAACCATGTTACGTCTGTAATCCATTTGCAAGGTTTTGGTTGTACAGTCTTTAAATCTAAAGCAGCACCACCTTTAATAAAGAATTCAAATTCTTCGTGAGTTATGCTTCCACGTTGAAGATCAATTTTCAATGTCATTAATAAAATGAACATGAATTTGTGTATTTCATATAAACCACGAGCTTTGTATTTAAATATTTCATATGTTAAATATTCAATAACATGATTAATTCTTTTGTGGATAACAGGACTTTTTTCTGATCTGAAACATATTACATGTTTTTATTTTTTATTTTTATACATTATATCATTTATAAATTAAACTAACCGTGCTATTGAAATATCAAAACGTTCCAAAAATTGTGCGAGAGATGTTTGATACATCGAATTAACATTTGCCATATCACAAATTAAGAAATATAAAACACTTCCTCGAGTAGCAATTGGCCTATATTCTTCACGAGCAGCGTCAATTTTAATTTCTGTTTCCCTTGCAATATTTAATTTCTCATTAACTTCTGCAGCTGTTTGCTTTGTTATATTTAATACAGTCATTAATTCTACATCTTCGATCAAGGGACCCTTTAAACATTCTTATATTTATTTTAGTACTTGTTTATTATAACATATGTACAAAAATAAATAAGAATAAATAAATGCACCTGGACTGTTGTTAATTTATGTAAAAGGTTTGTTTCTAATTCTGTGATCTTTCTTTTATTAGCAGTTACATCTGCAATTAATTGGACTCTTTCAGTCTCCAATTCTTCTTCTTCCGTTAAAATAACTCTTCCTAACAATTGATCTTCCAGACCTACAAAATTATATAATTATTATTCTAAATATAAATGACAATTGTAAGGATTCGCTAATATACAGAATAATAAAAATTATACCTTTCATTGTTACAGTAAAATCGATTATTGAAACACGTGCGAACACTTCTGGATTATACGAAGGATTTGGCAACTTCGTTGTAATGTAAAGTCTAAAATCTTTGCTAACGTCTACTTCTTTATCGGCTAATTTTACCTACAATAAGATAAAAATAAAATGATACTAAAATTAGTTTTATATATTTTAATAAATAATATTTTAATAAATATTAAAATATTTAAAAACTATACAATTATATGGTTACTTTAAGTGTAGTTCCTATCTTTATGAAATTTTTTTCCAATAAATTATCAAGAACAGGATCTAATTCTTCTCCCACATCTTCAATAAGTAATGGGCGGCCAAGTGATACAGAATCTTCTAAGTGATTTCTGAAGTATTTATGAGATAAGAGTGTTACCTATAATGAAAAATGCATGGATTGATAACAAAAAACATTTATATGAATTTTTATTTTACTTATATGTGCACATATTCAAATAATTACAATAATACTTACGTGTAAATCAAAATTTTTCTCTTTGTTTTTAATCCATGCTTTGCCTTGTAACTGTGGATCAATTAAAAGTGCATATCTAGTTGCTTTTGTCACTATTATACCATTTTGAATAGATAATTCATCAGTGGGTAAACCTTGTAAATTCCATTCTCCTATCTACATAAAATATCATTTAACGTAAACATTATGTACGTTCAAATTAAATACAATTGTTAGTATGAAAAAAATCAGCGAATCTCACTGTTGCTGTATCTGTCAACACATCAACAATGTTTATCGCCGTAGAACATGGAATTTTTTTATCCCGAAGGAAATCAAACCACTTTCGCTGTAGCAATAGACGGATTTCTTGATTAAACGGGCCACAATAGGAAAGGAATCCAGTTAATATTACAACATCTCCAACAAGTCGCTCAATTTCGGATTTAAACATAGCTACTTGTTCTGTCCATCTTACTCTTTCACCAGACAATCCTTCAATCATAGCAGTTGCTGTATTAGTTTTAGCTTGGCATGCTTCAGCTTGATCAACTATCACCTAAAAGTAAACATATGCAATTATAAATTTAACGCTACGAACCAAATGTGTTAGCATCATGTTTTACCTGTCTTTCTTGCATTACAGCATCATACTCTTGCTGGACATGTTTTAAATCTTCATCCTTTTCTTTTAATAAAGCTTCTGCTTGACGTAAACTTCGATTAGCTCTTTCATACTTTCCTTGCTGTATGGCTAAATTTGCCTTTAATGGAAGCACGTCTTTATTTATTCCATAGAAAGCTACCATTGCAATGGTCCATTGTATTAAGCCAGCTACATTACCACAGGCCTGCTTTGCAGCTTCATATGTATATAAAGGATAATTTAAATATGGATACATTAAATCTACAATTTCTCCGTTAATATTATCTTTAGGAAATTGTTGCAAGTTGTATAAAAATCTAGTATCAGTCATAACCTGTAATAAATAAATTTTAAAATTTATTCAATATTACATATGAATATTATATAATATATAATATAATTAATATTATTTATTATTAAAATTTGTATTATAATTATCAGTTATGTACTTTAAATGCTTCAGTCCAGGAGGCTGTTAAGAATTGGCGTTCTGGATCTGGCTTAATACGTTCTAACTTTTTTCCAAATAATATCAACACACAATCCATAATTAAAGTAATTAAATAGGGTGGTTTTGCTAATTTGCGTACTGTTGCAATATCGGATGCTTTTATAGTCTAATAAAATATTTAATATCTTTATACGTATAAATTTTAGAATTAAAATAATAACTGTAACTAGAGTAACTTAATATTTTGAATACCTGCAATGCAGCCTCTGCTTCTAATAATGCCGGTTCTGCAGCTTTCAATTTTTTTTCTGCTACTATTTTATCTGCAGCAATTACCTTCAATAATGCTTCAGCTTGATTTTTTGTTACCTGTACTGTTGCCTTTACTGTTTCTGCTTCTCTTTTCTTTTCATCAACAACAACTAAAATCTGCAAAATAATATATAATTTTTAATGATTATAAAAAATAAAAATGTATATATAATATTTTTGGTGATAGATATACATACAGATTCCACTTGTATGTTCTTTTCAGCGATTTCTTGCAGATTTTTTTCTAATATTTTACGTAATTCATTAACTTGTACAGTAGCATCAACTAACTTACTTAAACCATTACTCATACGACTAGCAAGCATATTAATATTATCCAAATTTTGTTTGTAAATCTCTTTATATCCAGTAAGAAATGTTAGAAATGACTTTGGTGTAACGTATGTTTGTCGACGGAATCTTTTTTGAATGTTATAATTCCAATAATTATTAAATACATTTCAACTGAATTATAGATCAATGATAAATCATAAATTTGTAAATACCTATTGAAATATTCTATGCAAATGTCATTAACGTCGTCTTGAACATCACCCATCACTTGAATTAAATTTTGTTTTACTTCCAAAGTGCACTCAATATCGAACGTTCTTAAAATATGTTGACCTACTTGATACAACGCATCTTTAGGCCATTTAGCAAACCAATTCATTGTACAGCCAGATATAAGTGCAGGAAATTTCAATGATCGTAATCTGAATCTTTCTCCAACCTACGATTTAAAAAAAATAATATAATATTTTATTGAACATAAATTCCCAAATTAAATTTTAAAAAGTTAGCACAAAGTAGAAATCTTACTGGTGAAAAACATAAAGCTATGTGCAAATGATTTCGTGCACGAGTTATAAAATAATCATACAGATTATCCTGTGTTGGAGGTCTTTTAGGGTCATCTTTTTTCATGAGTGGTGTGACTGCTGAATAAATATCTTCTAATTCATCCTTAGGAAATAAACCAGCAATTTCGCCTACACTTAAAATATTATTTATATACTCAAGAAAAGCCTCATCTTTAATCTCATTATCAGTAAATATAAATGTCAATCCCTTGCTAACGGTACCAGCTTCACGATACAATTTTTTTAAGTCATCCATTAAACTTGCCACGTTATAAATTCTGAAAATATTGTGTTTTTGTTTTTATTTCTTTATTATATAATTAACACATCAAATGATTATAAATTAAAAAATACTAACCTAGATAAAGTTATTTGGAAAAATGTAAAACCTGCAATGAAGGAAGCTAATCTTGTTAAACTTTGTTTACCAGATCCTCCAACACCTACCAACATTGCATGACCTCTTGGTACTCCAAATATTCTTGATATTCGTATTAAATGTATAAGAGCATCATGGAATAAAACTAAATCAAGGTGTATTCCACGTATGTACTCATTAAACTGTTCCATATTTTGCTTAACTCTTGTTATAACTACCTCATAGCTATAATAAAATTAATATATTTAAATTAAAACACGGCTTATATATAGAACACAATTTTTACTCGATATAAATGAATATACCTACACACCTTGGTATCTCTTCATAAATTTTTGGTGCTTCAAAGACAAAATCCTCAGGTTCATCTCCTGTTGGGTCTGGAGGATCACGCAAAAAATTAACAAAATATGTTTCTACATCTTCATAATATTGAAAATCTGAACCCAAAATTTCTTCTGCAGTTTGCTTTAATGCATTACGAAACCATTCATTATCTTCAGTAGTTATAAGTTTATCAGATATTACGCGAGTACACTCATGATCCCAAAGTTTTAATAAAATTGTAATAGTTTTACATTCGGCTCTTTCAATTCTAAGAATACCTTCCCAAATACGTGATAAATCTCTTAAATTAAAAACATAATGAAATTTTGCTGGTGTAGGTAACATTTTTACTTTGGTTTTTTGCCATAAAATTCGTGTTAAAGGTACTAATTTTGGCAGAAAATTCACAATTTCTTCAGAAAATCTGGTCAAACTAAAGTATCCTTGGCCAATCTTACCTAAATAAAAATAATAAATATATGTAAGAAAAAGAGATAATAAATTTATATTACACGTAATTGTATATTATATTTTAAATAAATACAAAAATTACCAAAAATAGCATCCATCGATTTATTGGATGGTAAGGTGCAATTAAAAATATTAAATTGACGTTTTAATCTTGCTGGTATATCATTTCTACCACCTCCTGGATGAATCATGGCAGCAAGTATCATAATATCTTCTAACGTACAAAAATCACCAGGTTTGTCTAATGAATAAAATCCATTATATTCCATTAATTGACGAACAATCTCATTTGTTATTTGATCACCCCATTCATTTATTAAAGGCATATTTATATCATCTATGAAAATAGTAAGTTTCCGTCCACTAGGAGGTCCATAAGTATTTCCAACTCGCTTTTCAACATAACTTTCAAAAATTCTCTAGAGATAGATATTTATTTATACTTAAATTTGCAGGTAAATATTATTTGTATTTAATGTTTTTACTGCAATTACTTGAACCATATTAGGTGTAGAAGCCGATGAAAAATTAAAGGATTTTTGGAGATGATATTCCGGATCAAAATTAGACATATAACTTTTAACCATAACTGTTTTTGCAGTACCTTGCTCTCCTATGTATAATATGATACTTGATAATTCATAAATGATATATAAACGAAAAAATATAAAAACATTTATTAGTAAAAATATATTATTTTACCAATAAGAAGAACCGCTTTCTCTTGTTTCGCTATTATATCGATTAAAAATAATGTTCTTGTATTATCTACATTAGGAACTAATATTTTATAATATTCTAGGACATGATCTGATGGATATTCAAATTCTGGAACTCTTTCGTTCCAATGTATCCAACGTCCGTAATCGGATACTACATATTCGAAAATCGTTTCATCCTCCTAAAATATATTAGCATACATATATTATATAATAAGTAAAATTAAAAATATTTTTATTAACTTCTATAATTGGCCAATTTAAACGCGATTTATGGGCTAGAAGAAATTCTTGTAAGGCATAACGTGAATCAATTTCTAATACTGCTCCAAGACTCCACATAATAGAAAATAAGAATATTTTTTCTATATAGGTATTAGTTAATACTTCTGAAAATTATAAAGCATAACAAAATCAATGTCGAATACTACATTACATATGTAGATAATTCTTGTGTGTACTTACTAGCAGTATCATTGTTTGTTAGTAAACCATTTAATAGATCAATAGATTGACGTATGTAAAGAGCTTCCAAAAGTGTCATCTTTACTTCAAGTTTTGTTAAGACAAATTTAAGAGCATCATCATATATTATGTGGAATAGTATACGTAATGTATCCGCTTCTTGATTTGGACGTGTCTTTAGCCAGGCCTAAATATAGTAATAATTAATAATTTGTGAGATCTTTAGTTCCAAAATAAATATTAAAACTCACATCTAATATGTTATGCCATTTTAATACAGATGAACTAATGAAGACCATTCCCATGCGTGATATCGTTGCTGGCGATGCATTATCAACATTATCTGGTTCAAACACTAATTTACTAGTTACAGACATAATTATACGATCTCCATTAGCTAAAGTTAATGTTTTATTGTCATCTAGTACTGAATTTAAATTTTCGATCCATACTGCATCAACTGGTCCATCTAACACAATCCATAAATGGTCTGCTTTTTTCATTTGAACAGATCTTCTCCATATTGTTGAAAATATACCATCTGTCCAATCATTTGTAGCAACATCCAATTTACCAAACATTTGTGATGCCGTAATAGCCTAAAGTAAATAGTATAGATCATATATATAATATCTTTTAAAATGTATAAAAAATAATATTATAATAACATGTATTATGCATACTTTTGGATTCATCCTAATTTCTTTATGAGGTGTACCCATTTTTGTTAGAGCTTTCATTAACGCCCACATACATCGAGTTTTTCCAGATCCTGTAGGACCAAGTACCATAAGACCATGACGAACTAAAGATGTTTCATATAGCTGAATATTTAATATAGTTAATAAATATTTACTTATAAAAGTGTTAATTATTAATATGTTGTCTACAATAACTGCTTTTTTACTTGAATAGTTTTTAAATTCCATTCAGGATGATTCATTATTCCTAAATCAATCGTAGCATTTTGTATTTCTTTTTGTAACTCTTTATACGTTTGTACCGTTAATTTGATTCCTGGAAACATGTCTTCAATAAGTGACATAAACAAAGGTTCATCTTCATCTACTAATTTCGATAAGTTCATGTCCCTAAAAAAAATAAAGTATCATTAATGTAACTATATATTTATTATATTTTATATCATTTATATCACATCCATAATAAATTCATTATACCGAAGTACTCTCATCAAAGTTGTTTCTTCTGATTCATCAGGACGTGCACGTTTTTGTGCTCCAAGTGTTCGCAAACACGATAAAATGTTACGTAAACCAAAATCATAATGCACTTGTTTACTAAGTTGCTCTTCACATAATGAATATAATGTAAAAAATTTCCGTGCTAACATGGTATTTTGTAAAAAACCACAAGCTGCCAATTTCACGCGCATGATTATCTAAACAGAATAAAATCAAATCAAGATTAATAAGTTTTCTGCATAAACTCTAATAAAAATGTAAATAATATTTAATTTAATTTAATAATTAAAATTTTACCTGTCTATCTGGAACCATCATAGCCACAGTTCTAAATTGTATTTTCAAATTTTCTGGTAATTCTTGTCGTCCAGCATAGCCTGGATTCATTGTAATAAATATTCCAACTTCGTAATTAAGTTTATATGTTTCACCATCACTGTAAATAACATTAAAATCAAAATTTGATTTAAATATGATTTAATTTTATTTTAGTGTTACCTAAAGAGAAAATATGTTTTTCTTTCTTTTCTTGCATTAAGCACAATTGCTATTTGTTGAGCGGCAACAGAAAGTACAGGTAATTCTATCCTATTGAATTCATCAAAACAACCCCAAATACCTGCTTGTGCCAGTCCCTTAAATATTCTACCCAAACCACGGAAATCCATTTGATCAGAACAATTAAACACAACAACATATTTTCCTAATGCTTTACCCATATCTTTAGTAGTTTCCGTTTTCCCGGTGCCAGCAGGACCTGCTGGTGCACCACCAAAATTCATTCCTATATAAATAAAAAATAAACATAATAATAGTATGCAATATAATATCATCAATATAAACTTATGCTTTAACAGTTCTTACCAACAGCTTGTGCAAGTGTTATATAACATCTATCTGTAAGAGGTGTAATAACGAGTCTATCAGTACAGCCCAGAAATTCATTTTGGTAAATGAATTCTACATCTGTAATTTTTATCAAAATTTCTTCCTTATCATCATCATAATAGAATCTAGATTGTTTCAGCCATTCAAAATCTTGTATATTTCGAACTTTGGAACGATATAATTCATCAAATATATCTCTGAAATATTTTGAAATTTCAATTTGAAAAGGGTATAATGACACATAATTATAACGTTTTAAAAATATAGTATTGATTCTACATTTAACAATAAGATATTTTTTATACTTTCCTATAAAACTATTTGTTTTACCTTTGATGTACATGAATTGTAATCAAAACTTCATATTTTTGTCTAGAATATGGTGTAAGATCTTTCACAGTTACTTCTATTAGAATATTTAATAAATCTAAAAACCACTCGTTAGTTTTACGCATGATCGTTTTATCTCGTTTTGATGCATTCATTGCTGCTTCAGAATCACGAGTCCACAAAACTTGAAGGGCAAGTAATGCAACCTAATAAAATGTTATCTATTAATAAAATATATATGTTAAATAATATTTTATAAAGCTTCATTACCTGTAATACGGAATTATCTATCAATGCTAAAATATCAAAATCAGGAGTATTCAATAAGGTCATTCCATATGAAATTGCAGCAGCAACAGATATCTGATGTACAGATAGAAATGTGTTTAACCAATTTTCTACACCACCTAAACATATAACTACTTTTTCAAGTACGATTTTTTCTTTTTCACGAGAATATATTGCTATAATATTCTCATAATCTTTTGTAGAAAATTCCAACTATTAGAAAAAAAGATATATTTAATAAATAAAATTTATTATAAAATTTATGATAGATTATACGATAATCACCTTTGCAATGTTATCAAAAAAACCATCTAAATAATTTTGTATAGTGTGACAATCGGCAGCTTGTCCAAGAATTTCCAATAATGTTGGATCAGATATGAAACAAAATCTTGGAAATATAACGCGTTTTGTTTCCAAATATCTGTTTAAATAATATTATAATATTAAACCAAATAATTAAAGTGCTTATATCATATTTTTAAATTCTATTTACACACCCACTAAGAGATTTTTGACAAGATTCTAACTGCTCTAATAAATAAGGTAGGAGTTGACCCATAGTTTCATCTTCTGTACATGTTTCCACTGCATTTAACTTATCACGTGCACGATTCATAAGTTTGACCCATGACTTATCAATTGACTATTTAAATATATTTAAATAATTTATTACTACTATATTATCACATCTATTAATAGATAAAATTATAAATAACTATTATGGTATTTCAAATTATTTTTATAAGCTATTTATTTTTTGGTATATTTGTTGGCAACTATACTTATTTTATTTTTCTTACATTAAAGCGTTTTGCTTCAGCTGGAAGTTGTTTTGATATATCACCACCAATGAATACAGCCTCTAAATATGCCCATAGATTCTGAACAGTTAACCAAGTGGACAATATTTCTGACGTATTACTCAATTTCCTTTGCCATAATTGTATATCTTTCTTAAAATGTGCGTTATATCTATATTATGAATTACATTATTTGTTTTTATATATATATATAATTAAATATCTTCTGTTCAAGTAAAATTTCATGCAATTTATACCGGTTTGCCATTAAAGAACTGATCACCATTAAACTATCTTCAAGTTGAGATATTATTTCAGCTGTTTCAATTCCTTTAAGTAATAACTCTCCTCTTTGTTTAAAATGAGAAAACTGTAAATTTACAGTAGCCCAATCCGCAATCACTTGTTTTAGTTTACTCTCTATTTCTGTTTCTTTCACTGCACTAATGCATATATCCTAAAACATAAACCATGTGCTAAATAAAAACATAAAATATAATGAAACGATAATAATATTAATCATAAATAATGAATAAAATAAAGAATTAATTTAAATCTAATAAAATATACCTCAACGTCATCCTTATACTTTAATAAAGGTGCCTCTAAGACATTCGCTAATGTAAATGTCTCAGATTCTACGTCAAAAAAAAAATTACATAACTTAGACATCCGTTCCCAATGTCGATCTTTCATAGCCTTATTTGCCATCATTTCGAGTAATGGGCATGTCTCATTAAAATCATCAATTTTTTTCTTTAAATCAATATAAGCAGGCCAATCTCTCATACCTTTAGGTAATCTTCGACATCTAAATTTAAATAATAATAAAAACATTAATTATGTTTATTAAATATTTATTAAAAACTAATACTTTAAAATATTTCTTTTATTATCTTTTCTTACTTATTTTGAAATTCTGCTAATTCAGCTACAATCGATTCAATATCAATATCAGACCAAGATATATTGTAGTAACTATCTATCGTTTTCATAACTTGTAAATATAATGAATATAATTTTTGTAACAAATTAAGTTCTTTTTTCCTTTGTTGTAATTTAGGATATTCTCTGATAGGTATTCCAAATAAAGTTTCACCACTACTATAAGTTTCATACCTATTCCATAACTCATCAAAACGTGCTTGAAATGCTATAACTCTATTATCCAATAATATGGGTTAAATTATTATGAAAATAGTATATAAATGCAATAAATAAGTTAAAATGTATGATAACTTCAAAATATTAAGTAACAAACCTTTCACTAGCTTCTGCTGCTGGTAATCCTTCAACCATTGGACCTTCTAACTCAAAGTCCATATCAAATTGTTCAACATCATCTATAAGAATAGCAACACCTTCTATTAATTCTGTTTTCAATGGCTCTTGCATCTCGCATATAGTTTCTTGAACTTGCTTTGCCTAAATAGATATTTCATGTTTTATTAATATTATATTCGATAATAAATTATAATTTTAGGCTAGTTACATAAAAATACATCTTTCTCGAGTTATCATCAAAATTATGTAAAAATACTTATTTTTTTATACTCTTATTAGATATCGTTATATATATATATTATAAAAAAACAATAGCATTATGTACCATATCCAACATATTGTTAAAATTGTAACGCAAACCGTCTACTATATCTTGTTCTTCTTTTGATACATCTACGTTAAACACTCCCATCAAAGTATAAGTTTCTTCAATTAAAATCAATTCCATATCAAAAGTTATAAAATCATCTCGTATTGTACCCAAACATCTCATAGCAATACGTACATCCTCTAAATCTCTAATTGGTCTAATAAGAACTTTATTTTTTTCATTAATATACTCGGTAATTTTCATTAATTTATTTTTATAATTAATAGACAATGTAGATCCTAATAATTTTTTCCATGCACTTGCTTCTACCAAAAGGGCAAGCTTCAACTTTTCTATAATTTAAATTAAAATTATAATTTCGATTATAAATTAAAATAAAATGTAAATAAATAATTTGTAAAATCACTATACCCATTCTAATTTCTATAGGACCAACAATATGCAAATCTGGGAGATTTTGAATCTCTGTAAACAAATTCTCGTATTTTACAAATTTTTCCTTTATTTCCTGAATTATTGGTTCAGAATCAACAAATTTTTGTATTATTTTTTCTTTATTCTCGTCCCATACGTATGAGTATTTTAGGTATGACTGTCATTTATATATCCATTAAAGCAACTTATTCTATGTTATAAGGGTAATATTATTTTAAATATATATTATTTAAGAAAATTACATTGCCAAGAGCTGTAATGTCATCCTTCAACATTAAAATGATTCCTTGTAAACCCATAGTAATTCGAATAATTTCCTTGTGATCAGAAATAATTTGATAATAATTTTTTAAATCTCTTTTAGTATCTCCTATAAATGAAATAAAAATCAAACTTAACTTACAATTAGTATTATACAGGATGTCATGTAACTGATAGTGGTTCTGTAACAAGAGGACAAGGGGTGATTGAAAAATTAAATCGAAAACGTAGAATAAAATTTGTTCATATGACATTTTAAAAAAAAGTGAACTATTAAAAATTAATCAATAAATTTTTATTTTTGTTAAAATATTTTACCCTTAAAATTAATATTCTTATGAGGCAAATGATATCGCTGACCCCATTGAGTGATGCTTTTGTGCATATCCATTACACTTATTATAACTTGTTCGAAATTATTTTGCAATTCTTCTATAGATGGAACTGTTACAATATTTGGAATTTGTAAGACAAATTGTGTTAACATAAGTGCAGCATCATTTTGATTAGAAAGTAAAGAACTGTAGAAGAAAGAAATTGGAACCTTGTAAGGATATAATATTTAACAGTTAATGTATGAAAAATTTGTAGTAATACCTTGTTGTTTCTACTTTTCTTCTCAATAATTCAAGTGCGCTTTTAGTACATTTTATTAAAGCTTCCATCATTTTATTATTAAAATATGCAAAAAACTCCAGGCAATCATGATGTATTTGAGTTATTTTAATTTTTTTAGAAACAGGAGCAAAACCTAAATATTAGTTTACTATAATAATATATTACTATAAAACATCAACAACTTTTTATTTCAGGTATGCAGAAAATATTACTAAAGCAGAACATTTTTTATCGTTTATTAGATGAGATAAATATATGTACCTAGTTCATACGGCCCACTAGTTAACTTTGTAAGGGATCCAACTTGTTTAGTTAATTGTTCTGTATCCATCCAACTATATTTAACATCTTGAAAATTAGTATCAGTAATAAGATTCATAAATTTATTAATAATCGCTATAACAACTTGTTCAGCCATTGATGACTTAACTTCTAACTCAATAGCAACAATATTAAGAAAAGCCTTATTATCTTTTAAAAAATCAGCTGGAGATTTTGGATAATTATCAATTTTTAATAATATTGTGTTACTTATGAATTCAAGCACTTCATCTATTCTTGCTTCTTTCATATCCTTTATTTCCTTAATAAAATTTTGTACTTCTACAAGCTTTACTTTAACATTTGCACAAACATCTGATATTTTTAAAGATGCCCAAGAAATAACTGATAAACATGGTTGAAAAGCAATCTCAAGATCAACCAATAGAATTTTTATCAAATTTAAGAATACAATTGGTATAGATCGTCTAAAAATCATATAAAAAATAAATTTATATACATAATATTAAAATATGTATATAAAATTATATACCTTAATTTATCATTTTCTTCAATTAAATTTTTAATGGCATCATATGAAGAAAAAATCTTTTCTTTACAAAATGTTATAATTTGTATAAAATCAGGTACTTCCAATCCAAATCTAGACATATGTTCAGATTCTTGTATTACTTCCAAAATAAAAAGATCAAAATTTAAACAGTATTTATTTGTTCTTGGATGACGTACGAGCAATGGAGCTGATAGAGCTAATCGAACCTAAATAAAGAATTAATTAGTAAATGACGTACAATAGTATGGAATTAAATGCATATTATTTTATACTTACAATTTCACAAGAGTCGTACCATGCTTTATGATATATTATTTCATAATGTATAAAAACGCTGATTATAGCATTGTAGATTTTGATGCAATTTTGCATATATTCGTGAGTTATAACGCGTTTACGTGTCTTAAACATATCCATCGATGCTTCAATGCGTCTATATAATTGTCGTATCCAAAATATTCTACCAGCAATAGGTGATATATTACGGGGTATTGGTGGAGAAGATCTATCTTCATTATATTTATCTCTTACTTCCTCTATTTCTTCTTGATATATCTTCGTAAGTTCTAAATATTTTCTATCAATTCTTAAACATTTTAAATTTAATTTCTGAAATCTATGTAAATTATGAGATTAAACACAAATTGAACAATGAGCAAAATAATTTTGTGAAGAAATAATATATTAAATATTAAAATTAAAATTAAATATTACCTCGCTACCATAATCAAAGCTACTGTAATATTTGGTGTTACAGATACAGTATCATAAAAAAATGTTCTAAGTTCAATTTCAGTTTCTTCTACATTACGCTTAAACTCATCATAATCTGAATTAAAATATGGTTTTCTATGATCTAAAGGATCATAATTTTTGGAGGAAATTTTATGAAAAAAGCTTAGAAATTTAGCATTGAATTTATCTATTCCCTCTAGAGTGGAACTTTGAAGAATAGAGTATGTTAAAGTAATTTCAAGTACATCCATGATCTATATAATAAAAATATAATTATATATAAATATATAGATTATGTATTACATATCAATTACAATTGCATGAATACTAACTTTTATTAATCTTTTCGTGAAAGTCTTAAATTTTCCAAAAACATACATTTCTGATACTTCAAATGGTTTTTCATCGGCACTTTCCTTTACCTTTTTACACATTTGATCATAATATTCATGATATTGTGTGTAAAGTGCAATACAATCCTAAGATTAGATAAATATTAAAAACTAATTCTTGAATTATAAATCTATAAAAAAATATCTATATCATGAAGGTTTGAGAAAGTACTTTTATTCTAGATATCATGCTAGATTTAGAATCATGCCAAATATTTAATGTACCATCTTGTGTTAAATATTTTTTGCAAGCTAAAATCATTTGGTTTGTCATCTACAAAATGTAATATAAAATTTCTACAATGAATATATTAAATATATAAATATATAAAGAAGTAAATTATTCAATGAACAAGTAAAATAATTTAATACCTTTACGAATACAGCTGTTACCATTCTTCTTGTATTAAAAAATCTTGATGTAGCATAAATCATACGTATAACATACATAAGTGTAGGTAAATATTTTCCTATTTTTGTTGGATCTAATCTATATAATGGTTTTGTAAATTTTTCTAAGGCATATAAGTAATTCACATTGTCCTGAGCTAATATCTGCACTGTTATAACATGGTTGATCAATCTTTTCCATTTCTATATAATTAAATCACATGATTATTTATATAAAAAATGAACACACAAAAGAAATACATATAGAATCATGATAATAAAAGTAAAAGTATTTGTTTACAATCTTTATAGTAGTAAATATACATACTTTCATCAATTTAGAGTTTGAATGAATTAATAAATCAATAAATGCTTGAGTTTGTGGTGATTTAATACATTCTATAATTGATGAAAATCGGACAAGTAATCGTCTCCAATAAGCAAGTTCACCTGTAGGTCCAATTACTTCAGTTTCTCTTCGCAATTGCTGACTTTCAACAATTGCCTAATACAAAGAACGTATAAACACATATAATATTCATAATCTTATTAAATATAAATTATGATATGATAAAAATATTCTAACTCGTTCCATTATTTTCATCCAAATTCGAACATTGTTCTCTCCTATTTCAACAACGTCACGATTTTTTGCATTTAGTTTTATATCTTCTAATTTCGTCAGATACTTATTATAAAGATCCAAATTAATTTCAAATCTTACAATACCTTGAAGATCAATGTTTATTACTGTAAACAATTTAAATATAAAATTAAGTATGATATTATAAGACAATAAAATTTATAAATTCCCGATATTAAATATTCGATTGAATAACTTAAATAACATAAGTATAACATACTTTTAAGGAATTCGCAGAAATTACTAAAATCATGTATAAAATTCTTTGCTATTTTAAAATCTCTTTCTGTCTTTGACAATTCACCCCATTGTATGTTAGCTTTTATTGCTGGTTCATTTAATCGTGACATTAAATCTGATATTGCAGCAATAGGACTTTGTGAAGTAAAATCAACTTCTGCATAAGCATAATATGTTTCCTATATAGATTAATAAATAAATATAAGAATATAAAAACATTAGATATATTTCACTTCACATAATAATTGAAAACATTTATGATAGATTACTTTCTCAAATAATTGGTCAAGTACTAATAAATAAAATTACTAACATCTAACAAATGCTTTGTTTCAAATTCAATATCTGATCTTAGGCGATAAACTATTATTGATTTGCCATAGAATGGTTCAGTAGTACCATCGGTTACACAACAACGCAGGACTTGTTTTTCATGTTCATATTGTGGTGTCCACCTACCAGATTCTAAAAAAATTTTGTACAAAATATAATGTACACAGGTAATTTAATTCTTACGTTATTATCAAGTAATTCAAGAAAACATAGTACCCATTGATGGTGGTGTCATATGTTGATAATGTATAATAATAGCTCGTTTTCCACCTTCCTTAAAGAAATTACTAAATGTATTTACATATTCATCTTTGTCAATAATTCCTTCTGCTAAAGTTGCTGATGGTAAATTTAAAATAAATGCTGCTACTTCCAATACCATCTGATGTGTACTTCTTAAAAGACCATATCTAAAATTTCTTTGTTCTTTGTATTTTTCCTATAAATCCATTAAAAACTCGAGTTCTTTAGTAAAATATTAACGACTAAATGAACTAAAATTATTCATATATAATAATTTAAACTACATACAAGACGTTCCTCTATACTTTCTCCAGCAATTCTTTCTAAAGAAACTCTTCTTTTTAATAATTCAGCGATACGTTGCTGTATCGCCGGCATTGTATAATCTCGCGAAACATTTTGTGTATCTATAGAATGCATCATTTTAAATAATAAGATTTAATAATCTTAAGAATTAATCAAAATGCACTTTTCAATTATACGATTAGTATGTGTATAACAAATGAAGTACCATTTGGCATCATTGTATCGTTTTAAAAAAGATAATTTCATTTCAAAGTAAGTAAATCGATATTTACTTAAAATAAAGTAGAGCAAGAGTACAATTGTTTTACTAACATATATCATTCCAGAAAAGTAAATATCTAAATATACGTATTTATTGAAAAATTCTTTTTATGCATGTGTAGCAATACATTGCATAATATTATTTTAAACAGCGCGGATGACGATAAAACGCGGTTTTTAATTTTTAATAAATCTAACAAAATAAAAGTAAAATAAAAAATAACGAATCAATTATATATAATGATATATTAATTGACATAGTTTTTTATACAAAATTATAAATAATATTTATAAATTATTATAATTATTTTATTAATTATAATTTATTTATTATTTTATAAATAATTTATAAATAATTTATATAAAAATATCTATCTATCGTATAGATTTAATTTACATAAAAATAAAGAAAAGAATGAAATCATAACTAATGTGTTAAAAAAATTTTACGACATTTATCGTGTAAGCATAACAAATTAGCTATATAATATTGTATATACATATATACCAGGAACAAATAACGATATACTTATTCGCATCAGACGATCCTCGCTACGTAGACATTGTTGCGTAAAAGGTCATAAACTAATAAGCAGTTTGAATGTAATTTAATACATGATAAAAGTAAAAGAAAAAACTGTAAAAAATGTTTTTTTACAAGGATCCCATTAAATACATTTCTATAATAAGTGACATATTTATTATTTCAAATTATATAAATCCTAACAATAATAAGCTTTCTTTAATACATTCTGTGCCTAGTCGTTTTTGCTCAACTTTTTATTTAGGCCTTTTTTTTTAATATGTCAGTACGTACCATCAATGATACACAAAATATTTTAATGATTCTTATCTCTTTTTATTATCTTTAGACTACAAAAAAATATCTTTTTTGAAATTAATAATTATTTTTCTGTTGGTATATATAAAAACAAATAAAAAAAATAAATTTCAACTTTAAAACACTATAAGTTGAAATCAGCTGATTATTTATCTTTTTAATTTGCTGATGTCGCGCAAATTGTGACAGCAATTATATGAAAGAATGTATAATATATATATAAAGAAAGAAAGAATGTATAATATACATAAGTAAATAGGTCATTGAAGAGGCTGACTTTAAGTTCGGATGAAAACAAGTGAAAGTTTATCAAACAAACTTCTTGAAACAATATATTCTTATTTTATCTTCTTGTACAGATGTTTATCCAATTAAATATATCCTAATTAAAAGTCTAATTTATTTAGAATTTGAATCGAATGATTTTCATTTCTGTTTTTTTTCTTTTCAATAAAATAAAATATCCGAAGATCCGTTTTATGTACAATACCATTACAAGATTGATGTCGTATTTAAACTTCTCGTAAAATAAAAGAATAAAACTAAGTACAAAGGTTTAACAAGAAAAAATTCTTTATTATTTTAATTCTTTTCTTTTAAAGAAACGAGTAAAAAATATAATACAATATGTACATAAAGAGGAAAAAAAGTAAAAAAAAAAAAACATACTTCGCACGAGAATATATGTATGCAAATAATATTTTGTATTATTTTTGTGACTTTATGAATTTTGAGAGTATTTTTCACAGTATTATAATTAGCTTATATGTGTATGCATGCACGTATGAATATCTAACAATAAGATCTATAGGGATAATATATCAAATCTCTCTATGAATTTTCGTTAATTGTAATAATCTTATCACGACAAATATTCAAAAAATAAAAAGTCAGAAATTAAAGATATTTATAAAAATCGGCGTACACGTTCAAAGATTCTTAAGTAAAATCTTATTCACTCGCTTCTATCTTTGTTAAAGGAGAGAACACATCTTCACTTTTAAGATTACTTTCCTGTATATCTTGAAAAAAGTGTAGAGAAAGAAACTAAGGAAGAAAAAATATGCTTCATGCCGATTCGCTATAGCAACAGACAGTCAACCGGATCGTATAATTCAACGTGAGATGTCACAAAGCAAGGTGATCAAGTCACCTTCTCAAATAGTCAAACGGCGCGGCGTTGCGCACATATCGTAATAGTTGCTTGAATTTCCTTTCAAAAGATAGTCAGTCAAAAAGTTCTTTGCTGTTATCCATCAGATACACAGTCTCGCGAACTCGTCTCGCGAAAGTTACCAATGAAAGTATTCGAGGAATTCAATAAATTCTATAACGATTCGGTTACCATTTCTGTCATCTTTTAAATCATTCCAACTTTGTTATATGCATTTGAGACGATAAAACTTGATTTTCTAATTAATTGTGATCGCAAGAGAAGACAAATTTTATCAAGTTTTCAAGAGAAAAGATTTTTATCAAGTAAGACAATAGTTTTTAAATTGGTAGTATTTTTCTTTAATAAGTTTTACTTTTATTTAATAAGTAAGTGAATTCGTGAATAATTACGTTTTCGTACGATTTTTTATGTAAAAGAACAAGAAAATAGTCTAGTATTAGATATGTACAATATTTTTAATGCACTACAATATTTAATATTAAATTATGAGAACTGTAAAGCTATTATTTCATAATTTGTATTAAAGATTAATCGCGTTATCTTAATATGGATCACATATTGATCGAAAATATGATTTTATAATTAAAAATGGAACACATGATTGTAACCGATCAAAAATCAATTCTAAATATCATCAGTATATCAACATTAATTTCAATGTACCTAAACTGAAAAATCATTAGATTAAATAAATAGATTAAATCCATATCATTTTTATTGGCTAAGCATTCTAGATATAACAATGATTAAAATCCCTCAATAAAATAATAGATCGCGAGTTTTCTTTCACTTTTCTTTCAAACATCAGCGTGGTCCATTCCAAACTATTATATCAATAAACTCGTATATAGAAGATAAACAGACTTTCTCTTAGCACTTTCTCTGCATGATGTCTAAAGTTAGAAACTTGTAAATATACGTCTTAAAATATGAGCAATATATTATACTGATTTTAAGGAAATAATTAGTATAAAAAAGTCCTACCTTTTTTCAATATTATAAAATGTTGAAAATCTCTTAGAAAACATAGTTATATGCAGTTTATACAGTTATTAAGAATTCATCAAACCTTGATACTTATTCTAATAATCAATAAAACTAAAAAGTACATTTCGGGATTGAATGTTTTGTAGAAAAAAAATGCCAGCCTTGAAGCTTTTCGGGCGGAAATGGTTAGCAGCCACGGATGATCTCGTCTACCCTGAATTGTTTGAAATTTTAATACGTCTTATCTGGTAAGTAATCAATGAGGAATAATAAAGTAAACACGTCTAAGAAACTTTTAATTAACGTTATATTTTTCTTATTGCCTACGAAGACTATTATAATCATTATGACGTTATAACATTCTGATAGAATATTGTTTATTTGTTTTTCTTGCGTGTCAAAACTTTTTACATATGATTGTAGGTTGATCTTGATAGGAATAGGATGCATAAAATATTATACAAGTACTTGGAATTGCCAGCAAGGAGGTGATCTGGTCCGTGTATATTTATTAGGAGAAGTAATCATCCTTGGCACAGTTATGATTCTTACATTTTTTATTATAAGATATAGCAGTAGAGGATCGATAACGAATACGCACGCTCGTCGATATGTTGAACCGCTTCTCACGGTAAAGTAAGTAAATTATATAGGGTCATTCCACGTCAAATCGACCAATAGTTGGAATCGACCCCTTTCGATTTGGACGAAATTTGGTCAGAAGTTTTCTTTTATCTTATAACGAAGTTCTGCCAAAGGAAAAAAATTAAAAAAAATTGTTGCCAAAAGTTATGCAAAATTTCACTATTTTTCCTGTTTTTTTAAACTTATGTTTTAAATATCTCGAAGACTATTGCAATTAAAAAAAAAACTTACGGTTTGTTTTAAAGAGGATACTTGGGGCTATGAAAAAAAAAATTGAGCCAAAAATTTATTGTCGATCGTCAGTTTTGAAAACTTTAAAAAATTCAAAATTTCATAAATTCGAGATTTTTCAAAATTTTTTTTCGAAAATTTTTTTTTCATAGCCCCATGTATCCTCTTTAAAACAAACCGTAAGTTTTTTTTTTAATTGCAATAGTCTTCGAGATATTTAAAACATAAGTTTAAAAAAACAGGAAAAATAGTGAAATTTTGCATAACTTTTGGTAAAAATTTTTTTAATTTTTTTCCTTTGGCAGAACTTCGTTATAAGATAAAAGAAAAGTTCTGACCAAATTTCGTCCAAATTGAAAGGGGTCAATTCCAACTATTGGTCGATTTAACGTGGAATGACCCTATAATAATATCACATTTCTACATGACAAAAAGAAAATAAATAATAGAATCATTATTTTCTTATGCTTCTTACGCATAAATCGCTTATTTAATTGTGAGCAAAAAGAAATAAAAAGAATTGTAACAATAAAATCGCTTTATTTATATTTAACTATTTTTATAATATTCGCAGAATATTTATGATTCTACCGGAAATAAGTTGGAATATATTGGGAACGCTTTGGATCTTTAACAAGAACATAGAATGCGAGATAGAACAGTACACAATAAGTGTCGTGAAGGCAATGGTATTTTTCAATTGGATCCTCATCGGCCTCACAATTTTCGGTTTTATTCTTGTTTTCGATCCTCTTGGCACGTTGGATATGCGTAAAAATAATTTAGACGATTCAATCGAGCATGGAAAGATATCACGAATTTGGCGACGAAGATTCAAGTTCCTTTGGTGGATGAGGAAGGACGAAAGCGCCAACGAAACCTTCCAACATGTTGCTGGTGAGACATAGGTACGCCTGATTTAAAAAGTCCTGCCACATTTATATTTAGGACTTGGATAGCAAAATTCACCGTCTTATTCACTTTTATATCGTGATTTTATTTTCCGTTGAGTGAATACAAAAAATAAATAAAAGAAACAAAATTTAACAAGCAAGCAAAAGAAATAGGGCAGGAAAGTCTTCAATACTCGTTTAGTTTTACGTAGAGAAATCACGATGATCTTATTCTTTTTATGGCAAATTTAGATTTAAAACTCGTTACTCTGTAAAAAATTATTTTCCTCGTCATCCTCCTTTAGGTTCTCGTTTGGCAGGACTTTTTTGTAGAAAGCACAACATGTTAGGAAAACTAGATTTAATAATATTGAATATTGTATTATTAATATAAATAATAACATGATTGACAGAAGTGAATCGTTCCATACATTATAGATAATTTGCTTTTTCCCAGGTTTACTCACTGCACTATTTCGAGGAACGGATTTGGTACCTTCCGACGTTATGGCAGGCTTAATTCTACTGCGAGTTCGGCAAAAACGTGAAACGCACAAAACGAGAACATTAAATCTTCCTAAACCGAAATATACTGTTGGTAAATAAATTAATCCGATTGAATTCATTATCAATTAACAACTCATTAACAAAAATATAAAATATATTGAAAACTTTTATCTCAGATGCACGTGATATTTTCATCAACACTCCTAGCTGGATGAACTTGGAAAATGTATATCATTTTCTTAAATTATCGATCGCATCTTACGGCTGGCTTTTCGTTTGTTATGAACATTTTTGTACCGCATGTTTCCGTTTAATACCAAACTTAACATTCTGTGGCTGTTTCCGGTAAGTTTTATAACTTAACATACTTACATTTTTTATACGGGTCTAGTATTATTATATAATTGTATTTTGTTAGAAAAAAACGAGAAGTTATCCTGGATGACAATTGTTGTTTTTGCCATTTATCCGGAGTAAAATATACGTCAAAATTATCAGATGACGATATTCTCTTCGCAAGTTTTAAGAACCATTTATGTGAAGTAAGCTTAAGCACAAGATAGATAAAATAATAATTCTATGTCACTTATTATACAAAATTTTCATCTTTTTATGTAATTGACAGGTACCTTTTTGTGTAATAGCCGATCATAAGACCTCTAGTATCGTTATAGCTATACGAGGATCTATGTCATTAAGAGATCTAATCACAGACATTGCCGCAGCATCCGAGACGTTTGAATGCTCTGGGCTTCCTCCTGGAAGTATGGTAATTATATGTTTATAACTTAAAAAAAAGAACAAAAAACAAAAGACTAATAATTACGCTATTTTTTATTACAATTTTGTATTACTTTTTTATGTTAACCAGATAGTATTAAGTAATAAATAAAAAATAAAACAATTTTTACATTGCACTATTATTTATAATAAATTTGTTTTATTTTTATGAAATATACGATCTAACATTTTATGTTTCAATGCGTGTTATTTTAAAAACAATAATAATATTTGTTTTCTTTAATATATTTGTAGGCACATAAAGGTATGATATCAGGAGCTAAAGTAATTTTAAGACAGTTGAACCATTATAAAATCTTAGAAATGGCTTTTAATACATATCCCACTTATACCCTTACATTAACAGGTACGTTACTATAATTTTATTAAAAGTTAGATAATAAATAGAATAATTTTATGTAAAGAACGAAATGTTTAATATCGTTTACTTATAAAATCGTCGTAGGTCACAGTTTAGGTGCTGGAATTGCAGTTTTATTGGGTATATTTTTACGTCATCAATATTCAAATTTAAGAGTTTATGCATTTTCTACACCAGGTAATATCTTGTAATGAATGAAGTATTTTCTTGATCACTTTTATAAAAAATAATTGAAAAAAAACTTAATTAAATAGGTGGAGTTCTTTCTCGAGCTGCTGCTAAAGTTACAGAAGAATTTGTACTAACAATAGGTCTTGGAGATGATTTTGTGATGAGTTTGAGCGTTGAAAGTGGAGAAGATTTGAGAACATCTTTACTTGATACACTTGCAGCATGTCGATTACCAAAGGTATTTTTTATTTTCATTTTTTCTATTGTTTATAATTAATATATCTTCTAAAAATATGATATTAATACATAGAGCTTTATTAATTCCTACAATATTTTTGGTTTTAATAGTATAGAGTAATTCTCAATGGATTTGGATATGCATTACATGGTGTACCTGAAGAAGACCTCGAAAACACATGGGAAAATTATGACATTATCAATCCACTTCCAATAGAATCTCCTCTGTTAACAATATTAACAAATACGAATAATGTGGTAATACATGTTGACAAAGAAGTACATAAATAAATGGATTTAAACTGTGCCTAATAAATTATGTCATTTGATTTCAGGAAAACAAAGTACTAGCACGAGATATTTCACAAAGAAGATTTTCAAAAATGAGACTTTACACTGCTGGTCTTATACTGCATTTGTCAAGATGTAAACATATAGAAACAGATACTAATAGGTATCTTATTATATTATTTCTATAACTTTTATTGATAAGTTTCAATGATCATATATTTATTATTTCGTTTATTTAATTATAGTAAGAAAAAGAAAAAGAAAAAGAAAAAGGAAAAGGAAAAGGAAGAGAAATATGAAATGCGATGGGCACAGCCAGAAGAATTTACCAAATTGAAAGTAATGCCACGAATGTTATTAGACCATTTTCCAGAAAATTTGGGAAAAGCACTTGTAACATTAATAGAACAACAAAAAGATCTACCAATTTACGTTGACCCATAATGTAATTTTAAAACATACAAAATCTAGTTAATATATTATTTAAATTAAAAATGGAAAGAAGCTCCTTGTGATTATATATATATACTATAATACTATTTTGTAAATTTTAAAAAATACATAATAAAATTGACAACTGTGTTACTTCTATATATGCATATTGGGTGTCCAGTTGCACGTAGAAAATATAACAAGAGTGTTGCACTGAATTAAATTTTACATTCATTTTATATTAATATTTATATAACGTTTATAATCAACGTAATACGTAACGTAATAACGTAATATTACTTAAGCAAAATAATGCAAACTTGATTATTTTAAATATAAATTACTAATATATATATATAATTATTAAATATTAATTATTCATATTATAATATTACACATATTACACACAAACAAAACGTAAATAAAAGTAAAACGATCAAAGGAATAAATTATTTAAACTTTCGAATATAGTTTAACAAAGCTAAGTTTATTTATTAAATAGAAAAAAGTTAACTCTGATAGTTAGACTTGTACATACAATACATACCTATCAAAGTTGGTTATATTTTGCACTTTTGTTGTTATTTACATCACTAGACACCAACAAATATGAGTAAATCGTACTACAATACATACATGCACTATAGATAGTTTAAATAAATTCAAAACAATCAAAGGGATAATTAATTAAACTTATAAGTAGGAACCAACAAAACCACTCTTATTGTTAACTCAACGATTTATCACCTATTATAATTATCCATATTTCAATTGTCTCGTGTTGTTTACGTCATTACAAAATGTTTGATATTACATTAATAAAAAAAAGCTATTCTAATAAAACAAATAGTAATCTATGATTGTGGATCATTTATATAATGCTTAATCAAAATAATATTAAATTTAATTACCCTAAATTAATACTAAAATTTCAAAAAATTAAAAGAATAAATAAAATGTATAAAAAATATTTAGAAAGGAAAGTATTAGTAAAATATACCTAGATGACAGAAAATAATTATAATTATAATAAATAATACCCACGGAACTTAGATACCAGGAGGGCGATCGACATAGGAAAATAACTAGCAAACGCGACTAGAAAGAAAAGGAAAGATCATTTTCGGAAATACGCCGCTAGGTTTCGTTATTTCGCTAATGTCAAGTTTATAACGTCATATTTTTCATTGACAATTGTTGACCTATCCTCCGTGCTCCGTGTCCGTGATTCTAAGCATAAATGATCATTGCCAACACACAGAAAAAAAATTAAGTAACTAGATTAGGCTAGAAAAATTTTTACTGAAACGTTTGTTCTACTGTTGAATATGGAACATGGTGGATACTATCGGCGAAATATTTCTTCCAAACATGTGAGATGCAGCCACATGTTGACTCTTCTTTAGTTACAAGTTTTTACAATAGTACATTTATTGAGTGTGTATATAATTGTTCGTAAATAATAAATACGGTTAATAGTAAGTTGGAAAGAATACTATCTTGTTATAAAAGTAAGTAATTATTAATTTACCTATATCAAATTGACCTAACCTCATTTATCCATCTGCACTGTATAATTTTGTTTTTATGTAATAATAATTAAATACAATATTTACAAAACTTTCTTTCGGCTAACAATTAAACAATATAAATGCTACAATTATTAATAATAAATTGTCTTTTTTATTATCTATTGCCTCATTAATAATTAAACATATATTTTCTATAGATGTCGATTGTTTCATCACGAATTAGCAGTCTGAATTCTATCTTAAAATCGCCAGGTGCTAGATCGCAATTATTAAGACAATCTAACAAAGTATATTTTAAACTTCCAAAAAATGTTAAAGATATTCTTATAAATTTTGAAAATAGAAGTAACATAAGAGATTATGAAGATTTAGTATGCATTTTAAGAAGTTCCAGTGTTAAAGTAAGTAATGATTATATACTTTAATGAATAATAAGTTAAATTGAAATTGGAAAGTTATAATAAATTTAAACAATTTTATTTAGGATATTGATTTAGAAGAATTTGTAACTGAAGTAAGAAAATGTGTATCATTACTTGGTCCTATTCACCAAATCTTTGTTGAGGTACTTCTTCAGATAAATTGGATAGATAGATCACCAGAAGTAAAACTTGCTTATAAGATCTTCCTAGAAGATTTGATGTGTACACAGACTTATTATATAAAATGTATAATAGATACACTTGTTGCATTATTTAAACCAGGTAAATTTTTTGTTTTAAAAATAATTTTTTAAATGATCATACTTCTAAGTTTATCTTTTAAAAAGAAGAAAAGTTATAAATTAATATATTAAAAATTATTTACAATTTTTAGTGGAAAGTGATAAAGATAAAGAGTGGGAAGCAGGAGAATATAGAAAAGAAGATATAGATAGACTGAGCCATGTACATGATGTTTTACGAAAAATTTTGAAAGTTGTACCAATGTAAGTATTATAAATTCTTAATAGTTAATTTAAAAGTGCTTTATAAATTATAAAAGAAAATCAATTACTTTTTATAAATTCCAGGTCTACTAAACTTTTACTTCAATCAGTAAGAGCAAATTTTCCATATATCGTATTAGGTACACATATTCATGAAGTTTATATCTATTCATTACTTCAAATATTAAACTATGCTCCTCAATTACAATCAGATATATTGACTTTAATTACTAACAGGTAAATATGTACAAAATAATATTTATTATTAAAACGTGTATTTTAATAAGTGAAAAAAGATGTAATTTTCTTGTGATGTATTTAAGGTTGGTAATGTTAGATGTAAATATTCCACAACCAGACGTAAATGATGAAGACAGTGCAATGGAGAGTGATAATGAAATGCTCGACATTGATGAAAATACAAATAATGAAAATAAAAATATAAAACCATTACATCCATTATCACATACTTTGGATGTATGCATGGGACAAATGATTAAATTTATAGATGATACTTGTTACGTGGAAGATAAATTAAACATGGAAGCGTTTAAGAAACTTTATCTCGATTATTTAAAAATATTTGAAGCTATAATACTACCCACATATGAATGTCGATATGTGCAGTTCATTATGTTATACATTTGTAGTTTTAAAGCAACAGTTGTAGAAGCTTTCTTAGATTGGCTTTGGAAAAAAACAACCAATCCAAATATACCAATTATATTACGGCATACATCTGTATCATATATTGCAAGCTTAATTGCTGTAGCTTCATTCGTATCATCAGGGTAATTATTAAATTTGTTTTATTAATTTAATTCATTTTTCAGTTTAAAATAACTTCTATGTTATAAATAATGTATCTATAACATATAACTATTTCAGATTAGTAAAAAGAACACTGTCTAAATTATCAAAATGGATACATGATTATATCAATAGAGAAGAAAATTCAGAATATGCTGATCATAATCCTACAAATCATCATATATTTTATTCTGTTTGTCAAGCATTATTTTTTATTATTACTGCTAGATGTAAAGATTTTATTCATACAAGAAATGGTAAGTACTATAAATCTAGTTACAAAGGACGGAAAGTTTAAATAGAAACTCTTAATTATCTTTTTTATTTTTAATATATACAAATATGTCTTAACAAATTTAAATTGAAGATATTTGCGTCCACAGTTATTAAATATCTAACTTTTTATATATACGTACATATATAAAGTACTCATATATACATATATATATACATATAAATTTATTAAATATCTAACTATATATATATGTGCTAATATGATTTAAAATTTTTACAGATATGATATATCTAAATGAGTTAGATCTACCTAGAATTATATCGTGCAAATTGAACCCTCTTAAATCATGTCAATCTGAAGTTGTACATAATTTTGCTGACGTATCACGGACCTACCAATTGGCATATTGTTATACAATAATCGAAAGCAATTCACGAAATCAATTACCTATTATTTATGATAATAATGATTCTTGTGATTATACGCTTGATGGTTTTTTTCCGTTTAGTACATACAATTTAAGTCGTAGTGCACAGCGATTAACTCATTTATTATATGATAATTCTGAATATAATTATAATAATTTGGCGAACGAAGATAAAACTGACATCGAAGAATTTATGATGGAATAATTAGCTATTCTTTAATACAGTATTTATAAAAAAGAACATTTTTATAAGTTGTGCAATTCTTATCTTTTATGAAACTTTTTCTTTAATACTTAACGGACGGGCCACGTAGATCTACATTTTTCCATGAATTTTTAGTATGTTGCATTAGCGTTTTCTTTTATGCACATTGTTATTTTTTCATGATACCATCAGTTACAGGTATACATACCGTTATAAAATATTATAAAAAATTTAATTGATTTAATAAAACTACAACGCTTTAATTCATACATTCATTTTTATTTAATTCTTCTGAAAAATGCCCGGAAACTAGGAAAGACAGCAGATTCGACCCGTCCGTTAAGTGTTAATTGAATAAACACACGCTAATGGACTATTAAAAAATCATTAACATTAAATTATATATCTTCAATAAAAATATTTGAAAAACATATTTTTGTATTTCTTCTATCCAAATATATATATATCACCAAAAAGTATACATGCCCTAACATCCATTTTAATAAACATTATTATGCAAAATATAAGAATTAAAAAATTTAAACTAAAATTAAAAAAGAAAGAAAATTTTAATATTTGAAGCTATATCTCAGCATTTAATATTGAATTTATGTATAGAGCATTTTGTTTATTTATATGCATAATGATGGATTATTATCATTAATTAATTAAAATATTAGCTTAATTAAACAATTAAAGCACGTTATAACATTACTTTAAATCTATTTCTATTCTTATAAAATCTATTCTAAACGTATATATTATTGCATTAGAGAACATGTTTGTTATGAAGGCGATGTTCTTTTAAACATGGCATAGAACAGAAATAATTTGAACTGTAATTAAAAGGCACTTGATTTGTAATGTCTGTAGCACATTGAAAACATCGGATAGTATGATTTTCTTTTGTAATATTTTCTGCAACTAATGCCCTCTATAATAATAATAAGAAAAGAAAAAAATGTGTGTTTTTAGTTTTATATTTTCATTTCCAAAATGTCAATATGAAAAAAGAGAGAAATATATATACCTTTTCCTTATCATTTAAATTTAAAAATTGTTGCTTTGCTTCTTCTTCTCGCTTTTTCATTTCAAATTCTCGTTTTTTAATTTTTTCTTTCTCACGTTTCACTTTTCTTTGTTGTCTCTTTTTCTCCGTTTCTTCTTGTTCTATTTCATCATTAAGTGGTCCAGGTATTTGTGACTAACACAAATATAAGATTTTATATATATATATATATATATATATATATATATATATATTAGGGTGTGGGTCAAAAAAATCAATTATTTTTTTTTTACTAATGACACAGAAAAATGGGTTGCTAGACACCTTAAAAAAATTCTCACCAAATATGAGCTCTTAAGTTTCATAGGAAGATCCTCCGCATCGCAGTTTTTTATTTTTTTCTCAGTCCAATAGAATAAAATTCATACCTCATCATTAATTGATTGTACAGAAAAATGTCTTGGAAGAATTTTGTAGGAAATTTAATGCTCTACAAAAAAGGTATCTTCTATATTTTTTTTCATAAACCTCACCATTTGAATAATATTGAAGATTTAAGTTTGATTATTTTAAGACAAATTTCATTTTTGTTTATGAATTTTATAACTCGACAATAAATGACTATTATAAAATGCGCAATACAAATTTTTGTAGAAAATTAACTGCTCTATAAAAATGGTGTCTTATGTTTTGGCGATTAAATTAAGCGTTCAAAAGATATTCATCATCAAACTTTCATGTGTACTGATTTTAAAAGTTTTTGATTAGATATTCGAAAAATTTCAATTTAATTTATAAGTTTTGAGAAAATTTACACGAATTTTAGTTTTTATCAACTGAGAAACTTCAAAATATTTTTCAAGTTTTTTTTTTATGTGTAAGTATCTTTGTCTACATTTAAAAAAATAAATTGTACATTATTTATCGCTTAGTAAATTATTTATTAATAAAAAAAGCAAAGTTTTCATTATAAATATATTATGATATGTTTCAGTTTTAGAGAAAAAAATGTCCAATTAGTTATAAAAAAGTTTTTGGTGAGTGATGAATTTTTTTAAGGTGTCTAGCAACCCATTTTTCCGTGTCATTTGTAAAAAAAAAAAATAATTTATTTTTTTGACCTACCCTAATATATATATATATATGTATATGTAAATAATTAGAACTATTTAATAATTTATAAAAATAATACCTTATTATAATTGAACTTATCAGGGTAATTAGCCATAAATCTTCTAAACGTATTTCTAGTTTCTTTATCTTTTGAAGCTGCATAAGGTGTTTGTAATTTTTTATTTTTGTTACAAGGATTCGACCCAATTTCTAACAACGCCCTATAATAATAAAATCAAATCCTTAATAGATAATATTTGACATTTTAGATTTTAATACTTTCTATAATAAAAAGAAAATTTCTTATCTACATTATTTATAATAATATTTCGTAAATATATTACCATATTAGTTTTACATGTCCTCCAATAGCTGCTAAATGAAGCATTGTATTACCATCTTCATTTCCATCATTTAACAATTTGATCACACTTTCCATATTAAAAGATATTCGAGTATCTATGTTGCTTTCTTCTTCTAATGTTGACTCGAATTTTTTAACTTCATTTAATAAAATATCTATTGTAGAAGTTAATAATTCATTATCACCCAATTTACATGCATTCCATAATTGATATTTGGCATTATGTAATACTTCATTTACTATAGAATCTAAAACAAATTAATCTTTCATATAGAAATGTTCTTTTATATATAATATATAAATATGATTATACAAATTATTCTACAATTGCATGGATTAACACTTTGTTGACCGGTCACGAGTTAATTCGTGATGCGCTTCTTTTCGCATCACGCTATTTAAAAGGAAAACGCAGTGAAAATAAATATTACAATAGTAACAGATTTTTTTGTACTATTGTTATACTGTTAATCATACGAAAAAGAAATATTTAAAGTCTAATAATAAGTAAAATTTATTAAAAATTACTTATATTGTTTTACTTTTCAATTCAATTACGTAGTAATAGCCGGTGACATGAGATAAATTCTTAAAAAAAATAGCCGGTCAAGAAAGTGTTAATAAAATAAATATATGTTATCAAATAAATTGTTATAAAAATTACACTACCATCAGTATGATTTTTTTTTACTTTTTTCTTTTGTTTACGTGCTTTCTTATTTTTCATATATCGTGGTACAGTATCCTGAAAAGCGAGTAAATGTTCTTGGAAGTCAATTTCCATATTATGTTCAACTAGAGACATATTTACTTGATCATTAGTGTAATCGTTTTCACTAGTTTCAGACTCTGTAGATGTTAAAGCTAACTTAATAACAATATCTAAAATAAAATTAAAAATCTATAAATTCTTTACTTTTGTTATATATTTGATGATAATTGTAAGCTATTATTTGACGCTAAAAAAATAAAATACCAGGCAAAGGGCGGCATGGACTTTTACGTGGTTTAGCTCTATCTATGTTTCCACGAGAACCCCGATTTTGCCTTTCTGGAGATGGTTGCATTAACGTTTTAATGTCTTCATTATTTTTCAAACTATTAACATTGTTTGTGAATTTTACATTAGAACTCGAATTTATTTCTTCTTCGGGTACTTCAACTACTAGATCAATTTTGGAGATCTTTTTTCGTGGTGGTTGTCGCGGTGAAATAGGGAAACAATCAGTAAAATTTGCTGCAGAACCTAAATTACATTAAATTATATAAAAAATTACATACTAAATTATATAAAACATTGAACTATAAAATTTATTATGAAGACTAAAATAAATATTTACCATATATTTCTACTGTACTTAGTATATCATACACACGCTTAACTTCACTAAATGTAGCTCTTCGAGTAGGAAATGGTAGTGGTCTTAATCTAGAATCATTTTTATTTAAAGGTGGATTTTTACCACCAAATAGTATAGTACGATTATAGGGTCCCACAGCTCTATACAAAATTAATGATGAATTGTTGATATAATTCGTCCATGATTCCAATATTTCTTGTATATGCTAAATCATATATGAGTATATGAGTATAATGAAAATATATTATATGTAAAATTTTTTATTCTCTAGAAACCTGTATAAGAGATGCTTCATTATAGCGACGCAAACTTGCTCCAGCACTTTTAGCATGACTGCCTAATGAACGACTGTCACGAGAAGTTTGTGCAGAACCTTGTTTGGCTCGAACAGTATAAGAATGGAAGGTTTTATGCACAATTGGTTCTCCATCTGTAATTTATAAAATTAAAATACCAAATTTAAATCCCTTTTCTTTTGAAGACTGTTTATAACATTTTTCCATTTAGATTCAAAAATTTTATTACTATATTTTTACAGATTTAAAAAGAGTATATGCAATTTAATATTTATTTAAAATGCTTTGTTATAAATCAATGTATTCGTCAATGTTTTGCTAAAAATAAAGCTAAAAATAAAAAAATTAGTATAACAGCATAATAATTAGAAAATAGAAATATTAAAAAACGCCTACCATTAGGTAACTTCTTTAATGTATACTTTTATATATATATATATATATATTACATAATTGATTAGAAACCTTGAAAAACTGCTGCTGCAAAATGTCCACCTCCAACCATGATAATGGTCCATGATGTTTTCTTCCCACTATTTATTGCCTGAGCTATCATCTCATCGTCCACCTCAGGAATTTCCTAAAACGTAAGTGCATCTCTCCTGATCTGGCAAGTATAGACACGCCAAGTGATTCTAACAAAGTAGATCAAGTTACAAGATACAATTTTTGCACTTTTACATGCAAAATTATATGTATTTAACTTAAATCTATGCTTTGTATGATAAATGAATAAATAGCTAACAAACCTTTTTGTTATGAAGTAAGCATCTATATATACTAAATATATTTCCATCGTCATTTTCAAAAAATACTTTAGAATGACGACTAGCAATAGCAAGTAATTCTTGAATCTTTTTTTTTTTAGATATTTCTTCATTGTACTCTGTGTCTGAACTATCAGATACTACTTCTTGAGATTTTCCCTTTCTTTCCTGTTTTTTATTTTTTATAATAAATGAATTTTCATTCTTACTCATTGATTCATTATTTTTCATAGACAGACTTGATGATCCTCCTGTTTCCGAAGTACCTGTATCGTCTTCATTTTCAGAATCTACTTCACTACCAGAAAGACTGGATACATCTCCTGATACAGTATGGTATATAATATATATAAAGGTTTATATTTTTTATAAAAATGGATAATTTTAAATGAAAATTAAAATACCTTTATCCGCTAAAAGATTGAAGCTATCTTCATTAATTGGCTTGAGACCATTCAAACGTTGTTTAAGATTATAACGATGCCAATCTAATTTATAATGTAATCTTTGATGTGTTTTATCCTCAAATACAGTATTACAAAAAGAACAGCTCAATGAATCTGATACAGATAATTCCTCCAGTTGAGTTAATATATTTTCTATTTCTGGAACTAAAAAATCATTTCTAATTAAAGTATCTATACGAATTTATAATGTATACGTTAATAATATATAAAAAATAATATATTATGTTATTATAATTTGCATTAATAAATAATAAAACTCTATGCTGTAATGTTAACAAAAAATAATTGTAGTTATTATTATTATTATAAAGTAAATATATATATATAATAAAATCCTATCATCAAGTATTTATTTTACATAATTTAACAATTTGTAAAAATACTACTTTAAGTTAAATAAAATTTCTTAACAAGGAATCGATTTTATTAATGATAATTCATATTCACAAATATTTCGAAAGAAGTAATCGATTTTATTTAAAGTAAATAACAGTAAGTGTAAAATGAAATATTGAATATACAAACCAGATGATGATCGTGATTGCATGCATTGGGCTACTTTAATGCCTTTAGTAATCCGATCAAAATCTTCTTTATTGTAAATTTTAAATATTCGATGATCCATTTTTTTTACACTCCAATTGAATTTACCTCGAATTTTATTTGTAATAGTTTAATTAAATGCCAAATTAATAGAGGTTATACTTTCTTAATAACTATAGATACCCGAAATAGAATTCTACAAGTTTTGCAATGTGATATAAAGAATAAATTAAAAAGGTGATCAATGGCAAATCAATATCAGAAATTACTAATCTTTTCACACGTATTTCCTACGTAGCGTTTCGTATGAGAATAAAAGATTACACCAAGTTACATCATGTCACCGTGTATGTACCATCTTATACAAAAAGGACTACATTTGGAGGGAATTTTAAATGTTGACTTTCTTCCAATATATATTCAATCAATCCAATATATATATATATATTAATGATTTAAACATTTTTATGCTAACAGTAACATCTTTTTGTAATAACCGATGTTCTTTATTGTAAATTATATTATTATTTTATAAATGCACAACTATTAATTATAAACAAAAATCTTTTCATATATATATAATGTTTATACAGTAATTTTATTTTTATATAAATATTTCTTTGTATTTATCGTGTAGTATTTCTATAATTACAAAGACGAATACGTTTTTATTTGTTTTTTTTTGTATATATAATAATACACATGAACGATATTGCAAATAAAACAAAAAGAATTACTTACTTCATATGCGCTTTAGAAACTAAATTCATTAAGTTACATTGCTAAGTGACTTCGCATTTAATAATTGTTTTTTTAATCGTATATGTACTCTTTCTCTCTCTCTACTTCTATCTCTATATTTATATGTTTTATGACTATGTAATCTAAACATATGATATTAACATAATAGCTATAATAATTGATATGAATATGATATAAGATTGAAAGATTTTTAACCTTTTCTACAAATACCTCAACAAATTAACAAGTTGCACTTGTCATTATTTTGATTGTAATATAAGAAAAATATGGTAATTACAATGAAAAAGTTATTAGTATATAAATATCAATCAATATTTAATCGCATTTTTATTTTGGAACAGTTAAAAAGTACTACAAGAAAGTTTAATCATACAAACTATGGAATATTTACCACGTGCTATCGTATTAGGCAATTATTAGTACGTGATAATTCAGGTAAAAATCAAATATTTGATTCAAATACCCCAAATCCCAAACCAGTCATTTTACCTGATCAGGAACCACCTAACCAGTCTCCAAAAGGCCCACCTATGCAACCCATAATTATAGAAATACCAGGTTTTCTAGAATCTATTTATCTTTATTAATATTAACAATTACATTGTATATATGTAACGAATAATCAGTATAAGATTATGGTCATATATTGAATCATACTAGGTCCTATAATTGAACCTGTTCTTCCTAAAATTCAGCCAGATTCTAAACCACCTAATGAAATTCCAGCACTAAATAAAAATGCAGGAAAGAACAGAATGATGAATACAAGTACCTATAATGATGAAGTCCTCTTTAAAGAGGTAAGTTAAGAATCATATATATATTCGATAGTTTACATAAACATTTTTTTATGAAATGTAGATAAAGGATAAGGGTATAATAACGCTGAATCGACCAAAAGTTCTCAATGCATTAAATCTTTCTATGGTACAAAAAATATATCCAGTTCTGAAAGAATGGGAGTCTACCAGAAAGTTTGTTATAATTGAAGGTACTGGAAATAAAGCGTTTTGTGCAGGTGGAGATGTTAAAGCCATAATTAATTCTCTAAATGAACCAAGTGGAAGTTTATTGGGTGAAAATTTCTTTAGAGATGAATACACGTATGTTTTGAAATTTTAATATCAATTTAAGTTAACTAATACATTATTTTAGTTTCAAATTTACACTTCTGAAAATGTAAAATATTGATATAGATTAAATCATTTAATCGGCACATATAAAAAGCCTTATATAGCAATAATACATGGAATAACAATGGGAGGTGGTGTTGGTTTATCTGTACATGGAAAATACAGAATAGCAACTGAAAATACTTTATTTGCTATGCCTGAAACTGCAATAGGATTATTTCCAGACGTGGGAGGAAGTTACTTCCTTTCTAGATTAAAAGGAAAATTAGGACTTTATTTAGGTCTCACAGGACATAGATTGCAAGGTAATAAAATAAAATCTAACAATAAAATTTAAACAATTGGAGTAAAATATACAAAGCGTTTGCTTTTAGGCATTGATGTACTTCACGCTGGCATTGCTACACACTTTATTCCATCTGAAAGACTTCAGGATTTAAAAGATGATTTATTAAAATTGGATACTGATCATATTGAACAAGTTTTAAATAAATATCAACCTAAAGATTTAATGAATGAATTTTCTTTATCACCATATATGCACAAAATTGAAAAATGCTTTTCTTCATCTTCTGTTGAAGAAATAATTGAAAGGTATGACAAAATAAGTATTATTATTTTCCTATCTTTACATTATTTATTCTCTTGTTTTCTTTTCGGCGATTAAGATTAAATAAAGATAATTCAGAATGGGCAAATCAAATAGTACAAATACTATTAAAAATGTCACCAACGTCTCTAAAAGTTACAAAAAAATGTATAGAAGAAGGTAGTAAACTTACTTTAAGAGAATGTTTAAAAATGGAATACAGATTAAGCTGTGCCTGTTTGCACAAAAATAGTGATTTCTATGAAGGTATGCATATACGTATTAGAAGCATATATATATACACTTCACAGTAAAAAATATACAGGGTGATTCATTAGCTTTTACCACCTAAATAGCTCCGAAACTATGATAGTAGCAGAAAAGTGAATAAGGAAAAAGTTGCGTGAAAAATTCAGGACTACAATATGACAGTATTTTTTTGCTAGGTTGAGCCATTTTCCAGATTTATTGGTCAACTTTGCTTTTTTTAAATACAATTTTATATTTTAATACTTATTTTCGGATAGCGATTATCAAGACAAATCCAATGATATGCAACATAAATATTTGTAAAGGTCAACGAAGGTTAAAACTAGCGAACTAGCTGGCCACAATACAGCTTTTCGCGTCATGGTCCCGCCAGGGTTGCGTCAGGGTTGCGTCATCCTTTAGTTTTTCCGACAACAGACGGAATAGATATTTTCCAAATAGTTTTTTTGGTCATTGTCAGGTTTTGTATTTAATGTTGCACATTATTGAATTTATTTTATCAGCCGCTATCCGAAAATAAGTATTAAAATATAACATTGTATTTAAAAAAAAAACAAAGTTGACCAATAAATCTCAAAAATGAATCAATCTAGTAAAAAATACTAATGTCATATTGTAGTCCTGTATTTTTCACGCTTTTTCCTTATTCACTTTTCTGCTACTATCATACTTTCGGAACTATTTAGGTGGCAAAAGCTGGTGAACAATCGCCCTGTATATATTCTGAGAACATATTGTTTTGATATTATTTATTCTAGAAGTAAGATATTACATGTGTCATTAAAAAATAAAAAATAGCACATCTGGGCTGTCTTATTGATAAGAAGTGTATATATAATTATCTCAATATTATATATAAAAATGAAAAAATACAATATATGTATCATAATTATCTGATATTTCTTCTATTAAAGGTGTTACAACTTTACTTATTAAAAAAGATAAAAATCCGACGTGGAATCCAAAATCTTTATATGAAATCACAGATGAATATATTAGTCAACGATTTCAAAACCTACCAGATGATAAAGAACTGCAAATTTGATAATACTGTATAGTGTATCAATTGTATCGTTACATTAATTACATTATGATGTTTATTTTTCTATATAAATATATATTTTTATACATTACTTAAAAATTAATAAACAAAAATAATTAAAATAAATAATTGTCATGAGCAATCTAAAATTTAAATTCTTATTGGGCATTTGTCACCTTTCATATAATAACGGTACTTTGACATTGCGGTCGTCTGTCACGTGGAAAGTAAGAAACGAAATATGAATACGCATATAAACAGAATTTAGCTACAATCCAATTAGAAACATATGAAAAAAGCTGTCGACTGATAAGGGTTAAATTTTTATACATCGTTCCCGCTTCTCGTATTAAAAAGCGAAACTAGCGCCAATACTTCGATTAGTTGATTTAGCAATTATCAACTTTATTCTTCCTACATGAGTAATATGTATTAATAAATATATTTAACATATTATAATGCCTTAAGATAAAATTGTTTATACATATATACGTTTATATATTATTATAATGATAAATATATCAATGAGTCATTTCTGAATAAAATAAATATTGTGAAAAAATAGTTAAAACAAATAGAATTGGAGAAACTTTGAGAATTATTATGTGACTTATTTCTTACAGTTAAATGCCTCGTTGCATTCGATAGCGGTTGATGACAATGCCGTATAGTGTCGCATGCGATCGTACATTGCATGAGTGTACTACGTTTTACCGATATCTCTTTGACCATGAGCATTTCCGTGATATGAGAGTGATTCAGTGCCGACGCATCTCTGCCTGAGAAGTCATCGTGGGGTGAAAGCATGATGGTCGTGCGCGAAAGAACGTATGAACAGCAAAAGCAACGTGAGTAATAAAGATACAAAAAATAAATTTAACGAAAAATATTTGTATAATAAGGGCTTACACAAGCAGCTTTATAATTAGTCTTCCTTCTTCCAAAAAGTTTACAAATTGCGTACTTTTACGAATCTTATTTTCTGTAATGCTGTGAAATTTATTATATTTTATTTAAGTATCTTTTCTGTTAGACAATTATGTTGTTTTCTTTGCGAATAGAAAGTTCCATTCAATGATGCACGATATGTGGGCTGCGCTCAGAGTATTGGGTGAATGCATTCTTCGGAATGCATTCACGTCCGCTCTATGTCGCGTTCCTTTTCTGCTTTATGTAATTTTCCTAGAGACACCTGCCTTTTGAAGATGTAGGACGCTCGATGTTCTCTCTTATCGGAAACATTTGCGCCAACATCAATATTCTTATTTATTAAGAATCATACTTTTCTTCTACGAAAGTCCTTACTATAAATTTAATACGTCTATATCGCTTTTAAATTTTTCCTCGAGAAATGGGGTGTGTATATGCTAAGATTATAATTATATATATATATATATGTATATGTAAATGTATATGTATATGTATATGTGCGTTATCGTGATAAACATGACGAATCTGTAATACGATAATGTTCGACTAGTGTATATGATGGACGATTGCTGTAGCTATTGTTGTCCTCGTTAACACGCTTGACAGCCTCAATAAGAAGGAAAGATCTGTTCTATTTTTATATATTCCTTGATCACTCTAGTGTGTTCTTTATTAATTATATGATAAATACATACATGTATATTTAAGAGTTATTAAATAAATTATATATCACTAAACACTTCACTTCTTTGTATCATCTTAGGGTACTGAGGTGGTATTAAATAGCCTTTTAAAATGGCTACAAAAACAGATGATGCAGCATCCGTTGACAATCCAAATGATGGTAAGATAAATAAGTTATATTAAATTTAATTATTCATTTAATTAAATACTAAAATCTATTATATTTTTTATTTTTTTAAGGAGAAAGCATGGATAAGGAAATATTAACTCTTGCCAATAATGATGAAAGGAATCACCGTATCCCACCAACGTATATGTATAATACAGGATCTGAACAAAGTACTGGTACCTTGGATCAAGAACAAGGTGGTATTAACCGCAATCAAGCTACAGAAGATCAACTTGGACCTTTGCCACCAAATTGGGAAAAGGCTTTTACAGATACTGGAGAAGTATATTTTATAGAGTATGTATACATAGATTACTAACTAATAAAGTAGGAAAATATGCAAATATATGAAAAATACATATATTTTTAATATGTTCTAGTCATAATACAGGAACATCTCATTGGTTGGATCCACGATTATCAAAATTTCAAAAAAGATCTTTGGAGGAGTGCCTAGATGATGAATTACCTTATGGGTGGGAAAAGATAGACGATACCCTCTATGGAACATATTTTATTGATCATGTAAATCGTAGGACACAATATGAAAATCCGGTTTTACAAGCAAAGCGAGCGCAACAGAATTTGATTGATAGGAAAAGTCCAAATTTTACGAGAAATCCGGATAAATTAAAGGGTCAAAGAATAAGAACGACTTTGATCAAAAGTGCAAGAGGGTTAGGTTTTACTATTGTTGGTGGAGATGATACTGTGGAAGAATTTCTTCAAATAAAAAGTGTTGTTCCAAATGGTCCAGCATGGTTGGACGGAAAACTTCAAACTGGTATAATTTTGTGGTTTATTTATTTTAAATATATTTTATATTTTTTCGTATTTTAATGAAATTATACAATAAAGCAAATTTTATTTAATAGGTGATGTATTGGTATATGTAAATAATACATGCGTGTTGGGATTCACTCATAATGAAATGGTAAATGTATTTAAATCAATTGGAAGTGGTGAAACTGTTACATTAGAAGTATGTAGAGGTTATCCACTACCATTTGATCCGAATGATCCTAATACTGAGGTTGTTACTACAATAGCAGTTAATCCACCAGGTAAATTAAATTTAGATTTAATAATTAATTTATAAGTTAATAATTTTGTTGCTATATGAAATTTCTTTTATCTTAATAATTATTTTAGATGTTTTGACTGAAGAGCCAGGCATGTACATGGATTTAGGACCTCCTTTACAATCAAATTCACGTTTCAATTTTCTAGATTCTACATTTTTGCCAGTACATAATTTGCAGAATGGTGAAAATCTTGCTACAACGTCTGTGAATTCTATGCCTGATCTTTGCATTTCAGACAAAATTAATACAATTAAGAGACCAAGTAGTACAGATATTCTTTTATCTGAAAATAGTGAAATTAATGAATGTAAAGACTCTCCTGTGTCTTCCAAATCAGAATTTCTAAGTATTGCTATAGTAAAAGGAGCAATGGGATTTGGATTTACTATAGCAGATTCTGCAAATGGTCAAAAAGTTAAAAAGATATTGGATCGTCAACGTTGTAAGAATTTAATAGAAGGTGACATATTGGTTAGTATCAACGATATCAATGTAAGAAATATGTGTCACTCTGAGGTTGTCCAAGTATTAAAGGATTGTCCACGTAACGAAGAAGCGCTTGTGCACGTTCAAAGGACCACAATGAAACCTAAAGAAAATAAGGAAAAAAACACTCCAGATTTTTTCAGAAGTAAGACTCCTACTGCAGATATTTATAGTACTCAATCTAAAACAGTAATACCTAGCAGACCAAAAACACCATTAATAGATACAAGAAGTCATCCTAAATCTCCTACAGCAGCAGATAGACCAAACTGGAATGAAGTACAAAGTGAAAATGAATTAAATCCACTTGATACTCGATATAAATATTCTGAATATAGTCATAGCATGTATTATACTGATCCATATAAAGCAAACATTACGAACTTAACAGACAACTTTGCTACCATGGCCAATATGGATGATGAATCATTAAGAAATGTTACTAAACATGATTGGGCGACAAATGATAAACTGAATATAAATAATGATTTATATTCTATTAATATTTCGCATCATGAAAATATATTAAAACAAAATGGAAGTATACATTCCGATTATTATAAAGATTTGTACGCCGTTCAATCGCATTCCCAATATAATGAAACAGATTATAATGTTTACTCAATTGGTCAAGAACAAAATGTTGATACTGGTGAAATATGGGATAAGCGAAAGGAAACTACTAGTTTTGAACACGAACAACCACATTCCAGTTCTATAGCACGGTATATTAATATTTTAGTCTTATTCAACTTTTTAAAATTAATTTTTTTATAATCAATTTCTCATTCACAATCGATGTATGTTTATTTGATTAAAGGTATCCACAGTACAGTAATGAATTGGTTTGTCCAATTGTACCTGATATAGAATGGATTGAAACACTTGTGACATTAGTCAGACAAGATACAGGGTTTGGATTTAGAATAGTAGGTGGTACAGAAGAAGGATCTCAGGTTAGTTCTAATAAACATTATAATTTATATATATATATATATATATATATATGTGAATATGAAAAGAAAACTGAAACTAATAGTATGTAATGGTTAGCAGGTTTCTGTTGGTCATATTGTACCTGGTGGTGCAGCAGATCTTGATAACAGATTGAATACCGGTGATTTGATTATGTCCGTTGATGGAGAAAGTGTAATGAATTCTTCACACCATCATGTAGTACAATTAATGATAGCTGCAGCTCGAAATGGTCGAGTTACTTTGGGAATACGTCGCCGTATTAATACTCAAGAACATTTACAAGATAATCTTCAAGCTTCAAATGATATAATAATTCATAGTAGACAAATGAATCTTCAATATCCTTATGACGTGACAGTTACTAGAATGGAAAATGAAGGATTTGGTTTTGTAATTATATCGTCAGTCAATAAAGCTGGCTCTACAATTGGTAGAATAATTGAGGGATCTCCAGCGGAACGATGTGGTCGATTAAATGTTGGAGATCATATACTAGCCGTTAATCATGTTGATATAACAAATGTATGTCATAAAGATATCGTGAATTTAATCAAAGATTCTGGATATTCTGTAACATTAACCATTGGTTATCCTCTTGATGATTGTTGTAGCAGTACGTCATTATCTCAAAAGGTATTCATTATTATTATATTAGCTTAAAATACGTATTACTTATACTATATAATATATATCTTCATTTA